ATCAGGTCTTTCAGCTCTCCGGCCCGGTATTTTTAACACTGTCTAAGAGCAGCTGTTCAGGATTCCAGGAAGGAGTTTTTCCAGCCCTGGGCCAAGGATCAAACCGGGGGCTTTTGCATGCAGAGCTCATGCTCCCTCACTGAACTGCAGACGGGGGTCCAGGAATACATCTAGCCTAGCCCCCCTCCCAGGGTTGCTGAGGGGACAGGAGTGGAGGATGAGGTGGGAAAGAAGGCGGCACCTGTGCCACCCTGGAGTTAAGGGGTGGGAGTGCAAGATGGAAGGGTGCACAGGCGCCTGGTGTTGACTCCCGCGCGGTTGGAGCTTTTGTGCGGTGAGGAGGCACGGCGTAGGGTTGCCACACAGACAAGGCAGGCCTTCCTGGGAAGCACGACTGCTTAGGACAAATCCCCGCAGCGCTGGGCCTTCCATCAAGCCCGGCCAACGTGGCCACGGTGAGAATTGGCAGGCCGGCACATCTGGAGGGCGCAAGGTTTGCGTTAGTTCTGCTGCTCTGCACAGCAGCCAATGTCTCTTCAGCATCACTATGCAGCACAGACGGAAATACGCAAGGGCACAAGCCGTGTTTTGTATATGTCAATGATATTTGAGCCTGGGATTTGAATCCTTCTCCTCCGACATTATGGAGAAGAGCTGCCCTGTGAAAACACAATCCAGGCACTTCTGCAATGCAGCGCCGACCTCCGCCCCGTGCCCTCCGGACGAGTTGCATCACAGCTTCCTTCACCCCCCCGCCCCCGCCATGCTGGTTGGAGAGGAGGGCGTGTAGTCCGTGTCCCCCAGGGTGCTGAAGCCTGTTGGCGGCCACTCACTCCCGGCTCAGCTGCGGGCCCCAGAGCTCCCCCAGCGCCAAGGGCATGTTCTGTGGGGCTGAAATCCCCTGTGACCCCCTCCTCTCCCCGCCCTCTTCGTGATCCTTCGTAAGGCAGTGGAGGGGAGCGTTCCAGACAGCCAAGATTAGGGGTTTTTTTACATTTGCATTGCAAACCGATTGACGGGAGACCTGCTTTAAGCGCCGTCATGTGCGGCGGGTGATGTTCCAGGGTTGTGCAGAATTTTGCTTGCGTCAACCACCTGGCTCGCGGCCCCCCTTCCCTTCTTCTATGGGGCTGTGCTCAGAGTCTCTATCTTTGGCTAGTCTGCCTTGCAAGCCCAGGAAAGCGGCGTGCACTGAACTGTCCACGAAGTGGTCCTTTCTGAAAGGACCAGAGATGGGCTTAGCAACCAGAAGCCATGGCCAGATGTGGAAGTGGGGCAGGTGGCACCTTGGAAACCGCCGTTATGCCACGGGTCTGTGGGGCACAATTTAAAGTCTGTGGGAGAAGAGGTTGTTCCCTCCTCTCCCGCCCTTTAATTTTGTTTTCTGAAAAATGGAGCAGTTTTGGATTATGAAATGTTTTCTTTAAGAGTAAGACAAGATGCCCACGTGTTGTTACCGAGTGACTCCTCTCCCATCCCCAAATGAGTTCCAAAGGCAATGTAATTCTATAGAAAGGCTAGAGAGATCAAATGTCTAGAAATAATGAAGCCTTGGCCTTGAAGGGTGGGGGGACCCTTTAATACCTTCTGGAGGATTATCAGTATAAACATTTCTTCCTTTCTTTATTAGAATGATTGATCCAATATCTATTGTTTACTGATAGATATTTTGGGTCGCTCCAAGTTGTGCTTAGTTTCACAATGTGTGATCAGAGTTGCCGTATCGTAATATGGAAGAAAATGTGTATTCATGCTGGTTTGGCTTTTGTTCTACAGAATTGTGTATTTTTGGACTTCCCTTCCTCTGTCTCCAGTGCTCCATGCTTCCTCTGACTTCTAGAATAAATTAGATGTTTCTGGTTCTCTCTGGCCTGCTATAAGCCGAGAATGAAAAATATGCAGTGCAGCACAGCTTGGGTGGATCATAAATTTACTGCATTTGGTATATTTTATTTATTATTACATTTCAGTGCCCCCGATAGGTAAAACTAAAATAGTATATTAAATTTTGAAAGTATAATTTGTTCTGGCAACAATCATAACTGTACTGATGGAGTTTGTTTTTTGAAGTTTTCCAATATAATGGTAATTTTATGTGCAAACCAAGTTATGCATAATCTGACTTTAGGAAATAAAGAACACCTTATGTCCTTAACGCAGCCTTCCTCAATCTGCTGCTCCACAGATGTTTTGGATTAAAATTGCCAGCATTCCTTACCATTGGACTGTCCTGCCTGCAGCTGATAAAAGCTGGCCTAAAATATCTGGAGGTCACCGGCTGCTGTCCGAAAGCGACTTTAGAGCTGTAAAGAGTGCTAAAAGCGTTTTGCCTCCTTTTTGGTTTTTCCAACTTTTTCACTCAGATGCAATTCCTACGGGGAAAGGGGAGTCTTTTCCCCGTGGCTTCAGCATTTCTGGTCATTTTATATCTCTGAAAAGCTGGGGATGGTTGAGTTATCGCCTTGAAAAGGTCCGTAAGCTGAGCTGTGAAGAGGAAGAGAGGTGAACGGCGGCTGTGCGAGAGAGCTGCACACACTATTTATAGCGTTGCTTTCCAGAAGGTTGTGCGCCAGCGGAGCTGGGACCAGATCCGACACAGAGAGCTCTCTGGTTTCTCCAGGAGGCAGGGTGACTTGTACAGACTGATTCGGGCGGAGGCCACAAGTCCCAGCTGGCGTGTGTTACTCCAGGTGTCTGGCACGCACATCCACGGCCCTCTCCCACGAGCAGCCAGGGCAGGGGTGCTTGGACTCACCCCTCAGGTGGCGTTGAGGGTCCACACCTCAGCAGGGCCCCCTGCCAGGGCCTCCCGGGGTTCCCTCTCTCCGCCGTTGTGACCGGCTTGTCCTGTTGTCTGTGGACGCAGACCACACGGTGCAGAGGAGGAGAAGCAGGAGATGCTGCAGGCAGGCAGCCCTCCTGCGCAGAAAAGCAAGCTCACCTGCCACTGCTGGGCTTAGAAGGAAGGTGAACAAGGCAAGACATGGCAGAGGCCCAAAAAGGGCGAGTCACCTGGAAACAGTGGCTAGGAGACATTTCTCTCTCTGTCTCGCAATACTGGAACACTTCATCCACTGAATGGAGTCCTGGGAAGTTCGGGAAAGGTCGGGGGAAGGACCCTTTCACACGGTGCTCAGTGAAATGATGGCGTCTGCTGCCACTATCTGAGTGGCTTCAAAGGGATCGGGCCGTTCCCAGGAGAGGCGGCTGTGCACGGCTGCTAGGTGGTTTATTTACGTATCTAATTTAAAGATTTGCCTACAAACGGCTCCCTGGGCGGTTGTTGCTTCTGCACTGCCCGCAGGTGCACCAGTGGCTGGAGAGCACTCGTTTCCTCCGTGTGGCCGTCCCACGGGAGCATCCCGCCGGCTTCATGGCGAGCAGAAGGTGGGCTTCCACAGGCCCTTGGTTGGATCCAGCGTGGCTCTTCTGGTGCTCTTATGGGAACAATGAGGAGGCAAAGGAGGAGGGGCAATTGGCAGCTTCCCCGAGGGTGGGGCTCCGTGGGGTGGGGTGCTTTGCCGAGGCTGGCAGTGCCCCCCTTGCCCCTTGTGCAGGGCCAAGGAAAGGGCCGTCGATTCCTGGGATGGCCCCGTCTCTGGCCGATGCTGAGCCCTCCTTGCTCGGAGGAGCCGTTCCATCCCTGTCCCCGGCTGTTGGCCTCTTGCTTTGCGCCACCGCAAAACGTGCGCTTCAGATTCAAGTGACGTTTGGGCGAAATGCTGCCCCGTGCGCCACCCGGACTTTTATACCCTGCCGTTAACAACTGTTTTCATTCACAGCCTTGAGTTCTCTTTTGCAGCGTTGTCTGCTTATACTGGCAGGCGGTGGAGAGCAGCTGAATAATATTAATAGAATCTCTGATCTGTGTGAGCAAATGTATTTAATACATCCGAATCGCTCCTGTTTAAGCGCCTTCGTATGCTTATCTTTTTACCATTTAAAACGGCCTAATGATTTTGTTTGCTGTCTCTGCTTAGCTTACCAGCCAACCGGTTCTCTCCCTCCAGCCTTGGAAGGTAAATCCTGTGTTGTATTAAGTCCTCTCTTACCTGCACTTTGCCACAGTCGAGAGACGCCTGCACACGAGGGCTGCCCATCCAGGAGTACTAACCGCACTGACAGGCTGCAGTGACCTTGCACGCTCTTGCTTGCTTGTGTCGGTCAGAGAACTTTCCTTCCTCCCTTAGCGAAAGAAAGAAAGAACAAAAGCAGCGTGTGATGCACCCTGCGGCACCTGGAGGACAAAGAGATGCTGCCAGGCACATTGGCAGTTCCCTGCAGGAGGATGTTAGAGGCTGCCCCTCTGGTCCAAGGGAAATGGAAAGGGGCTTCGTGCCTGCCTGGACAAGGGTCCAGCGCTAGACCGACCCTTTGCTGGCCGAGCGCTTGCGGGTGTGTCGGACCGCAGTTCACAGCATTCCCAGCCAGCATGGCCAGTGGCTGGGGAACATTGTGCCGGGGCTCCTTCCAGTTATTTTTGGTGGAAGGAGGGAGGGAAAGGATAGAGAAGGGTTTACTCTTTGAGAGCAGGGCCCCATCCCTTCGCCTCCATCTATCAGGGGTCAGAGGAACGAGTGGGCGCCACTGGTTGAGAGTGAGACCAGATGCCGGAACCACTATCAGCCAGCAATTTCTGCCTCTTCTTTACAGCGGGAGGATGCGCTGGGTGGAGTGCTATGCTTAACCCCTTCCCTGCCTCCCCGCCTTCCCCAGTTCTCCCACGTGCCCACTGTCCAGCTGGGGGGCTCCTGGCGGGCGTTTGCAACGTGGCTTTGCGTTCGGAGCCTTGCCTCGTGGCGGCTGGCGTCTTGCTGGCAGTGGTGGGGGGAGAGCCGCGATGGCAGGGGCTCCTCCCTGCCAGAGGCTGCCTAGTGAATTGTGCCACGTCCAGCTCCGAGGCGTGCATGAGGGCTTGCCTGTCGCCCTGCACCGCCTTGCCCCCGCCTCTTTGCAAGGAATGCCCCTGCTCCCCAAGCTCCAGCAGACACGGAAGGAAGGAAGGAAGGAAGGAGGGAGGGAGGGAGGGAGGGAAGGAAGGAAGGAAGGAAGGAAGGAAGGAAGGAAGGGTCTTCCCCCAAGCCCATCCTTCTGATTCTCTGTGTGCAGCCCCCGGGTTTGGCCACCGACCTCTCAGGCTGCGTGGAGAGGCTGCAGCAGGCACCTGCTGTGCAACATCGCAACTGCCTGCCCTTTGGACCTTTGGACTTGGCCCAGGTGGAGAGAGCGTCGTGCAGTCCAGGACACAACCGACGGACTTTGGCCCCTCCACGCTGCATCATCGCGGCTGGTGCCCTCCAGCTGTTTCAGAGCAGAGCTCCCTAGAGATACGGTCAAGGTGGCTACTGCCCGATGGGGCTGCACCGAGGGTCCTCCTGGGAAGGCCCACGATGTGGGAGGGGGCCCAGGCAGTGGGGGAGGTGAGACGGAGCTGCAGGCGCCGCTTCCCGCTTGCTCCCTGGCTCTCCCTGGCAGATGGTGAGCACGGCACAGGGCCCGTTCCGTTTCCCCGGGGCCCGCCAGCCCTGCAGCCAGGCCCTGGGGCTGCCCAGCCTTGCATGCCCCGGTCCAGTCTCGCTCACTTCGCCCGTGCTTGCACAAACTCCTATAACCCGTTAAATGTGCGTGGCGCCTGCGTGCTTGTGCATCTGATCTCCTGCCCTGCTCCTCCTCGTTCTCCTGCCTGCAGTGGTTTTCGCCATCTTGTCCGTGTCCCGGTTCGGTTCGTGTGGAGACTCACTGGCTTGCTTCTCACACGGGCCAAGCCTGTGACGCCGAGTCCCGCTCGAGCCCCTTCCACCGGCTTCTCCTCAGCAGATAAATCGGTGTGTGCACAGCAGTGCCCCAGAGCAGTCGGGCTGCAAGGTTATTTTCATGAGGCGAAAACGCCGATGGAGGTGGGGGAAAGGCTTGGCTCGGGGCCAGGAAAGGAAGGGGCAGCAACACAGCAAAACGGAATGCATTCGAAGCGCTCATTGGATCCCCTCCGAAAAGCGCTTCTCCGCTGGCCCCTGTTGTTCGTATCTGCAATTCTGTACATACTGAATCGTATGGAATCTGAGATCAGGTGAAGAATTTGGATCCCTGAGTGCCTTGGCATATCTTTTCCACTTAAAGCAAACTCTTAGCACCCAAGATTGTAGTTAGGAAACCATTTCAAATTCCCAGCTGCTGGCATGGAGTTTGTAGGGGCTGTAGATTTTTGCCGGTGTGGTCATAAACGGGTTACTTGTTCACAAACCAAGTGTGACTGCACAAATTCCTTTTCCAACTTGATACAAACCATGATTTCTTCTTTCTTCAGCTCCCACACTCTGCTACTCAATTATGTCTTTTCTGGCCAACGCACTCCTAATCCCCAGTCAGAAAATCTCAAATAGAGAGTTAGGATAAACAGACCTGGGCATGTTTGTGCTTATGCACCGAGCATATTTGTATTGCGTGCCTTGGTATGAGCTGTGGTTTGCCACAAGGTGTGAGGGGTGATTTTGGGCATTTTTGTGTGTGCTGGTTTCTCTTTAGAGACTCTCAGAAAAAATGCCTCAATTCCCTTGTTTTGAAGACGTGTAATCATAGCAGGATTAGAAAGAAGGAAGAAGTGATGCTGAAAAGAGTGAGATGGGGTAAAAACCAGAAGTACCTCTGCTGTTAATAGTTATTTACTTCATTATTACCCTGTCAAATCAGGAAAAGGGGAACAGGAGGGAAATGTGGGGAAAGCAATCCCGGGTACCAGTTCTGAAAATTAGTTATCACAACCAAATGAAATCAACAGCTGCAATGTTTGGAACAATCCTCCAGTTGGAATCCTTATTGGAACTAAGCCAAAGTGTAACTTTGGCCTTATTAATCTTGTATCTTATTAATGTAATAAACCTTGCTTTGGAAGGCACATGGTCCTAAAAAGTGGCTTGCTTATACATCCCTTCATAATTTTTTGCCCTTAAAGGCAGCTTTAAAATGTATAAAATAAAATTTTCTTCCCCTTCCACTTTCCACACCACCAGCTCTTCATGACTCCTGCCATACTGCTGAATGTCGGCAGTGGCTCACGCAGAAAAATCAGTGGTTTCACTGGCAAACCACAATGGAGGATTTAAAGAGACAGAACCCACACGAATCCTGGAAGCCACAAAGCGATGGGCATCTGGGGGAAAGCGTGGGGCCAGAAGAGGGGGCATTGTCCTCTGGGGAACCCCAGCAGGCCCGATTTGGCCCGCGGGCCTGCAGTTCAGCACCCCAGTAGGTAAGACTGCCCTGTGCAAGCCCTTTCAGTGGACAGAGTGAAAAGCGAAACGTCCCAGGCCGCATCCAGAGATGCGGTTTGAGGTGCATCCATGGATCTTTGCCAGTCATGTGGACATTCTCCAGGTTCAGCTGGGGAAGCTTCTGCATGAGATGCTTGGTCTGATGTTTGGGGACAGGAGCGTCTGCATGTTCTTGTGATCCTCTGAGGTGCCACCAGTGGTCCAGGGACGGAAAGCAGGCATGAGCGGGTGTGACTGCCGGGGCGTGGATGCGGCTTCGGCAAGCGCACAGCTTCCATGAGGTTCCACAGGCAGTCGGGATGCGAGCAGTCATGGAAAGTCGTGCTGGTTTGCTCCGCCAGGGCCGGCCCTTTCCATGGGGATGGACTTTGCAAAATCAAACCAAGCGTCACACACACAAACTCACACCGACCGTATCTGTAGGCAGCTCCCTGACCTGCTTTGATACCAAGGAAGAGTTCATGTTATGCCGTTCATGTGATAATTCCAGTATTTGTCTTATAATCCATGAGAGTCGTCATGAAGTCCTCACAGGAGCAGTTTATCATGAACTCTCCCTCAGCTTTTCACGTGAGCCGGATCCTTCTGGGGGGAGAGGGAGGATGGCTTGCTTCCCCTTTTCTTAGCCTGAGTGCCCAAGTTCTAACATAGTTCCATATCTTTTAGGAGCACCTTCTGTGCGATCATTGCTCAGCTGACTGAAGAAACCCAACCACTCTTCGAAACCACGCTGAAATCGTATGCTGTGTCGGAGAACGCGGACGCCAGATTCATGTGCATTGTGACGGGTAAGTTGTCCCCGTCGGAGTCTTTGGGACTCAGGTGGTCACGGAACCCAGGGGTGCCAAGACAAGTGCACAGGTGCTGTGAGTCAAAGGAAGACAGCCAAATTTGGACGCATCTGCCTCGTGGGTCAGCTGTGCGGGGAGTTCTAGCTTTGGTGGCAAAGTGGTGGGACCCAGTTTAGTTGTCCTACGATGCCGGGAATGTAGAAGCTGCTGGAAAGCAAGGAAAGCAAGGAATTGAAGGCGGGGGGTGGGAGGGAGACAGGACAGACATGTCAGTGGTGCACTTCACAACTGAAGTAATAACATCATGGCTTTTCGAAGAGGCAGGCCCTAAGGCCAATAAGTGCAGATTCTAAACTGTTCTAGCTGAACCGCTGGTGCCAGCAAAAGACAGGATAACACCCCCCCCCGCCCAGCACATATGCAAACTCCATTTCACACGCAGAAGGGACTGGCTGCTGGTTGCCTTCGGCACTGGTGCCAGAAGAGCATTTGCTGCAGCACCAGAAGGAGCAGGGCTGCGTGGCAAGCCATGCCAGCATCTCGCCACTGTGCTGGGCCTCCCGACATGCCCCTGCGCCCGAGGCAGCTGCCTCGCTCTGCTGCGTGGCAGGGCTGGCCCTGGAGCGAAGGCCATGATGGGAGAGGGTTCTGCATCTCCCCGGGGGGCGGGCTGCCAGAGCCCGGCACACTCTGTGCTTTATGTGGGGGAGCTGGGCAAGCGAAGGAAGGCCGCCTGTCAGCACCATGGCTGGTGGGCCTCCCTGAAAGTGTCAGTCCTCTCTATTTCTGCCAATACCAGCTACAGCCTGTTTGCTGGTTCTGACACAGGCACAGCTAATCAGCAAGTTCCCCGGTTTCAGGCTGTCGCCCGTCTCCCAGCCAGCCTGACAAAATAGCCCGTTGAGGTGCTGCTTGCAGGCTGCAGTGGCGGCTCAGGTCTCTGTGCACGAGGACTTGTTGCCGTGCCGTTCTCAGTTAGTGCCTCTGCTGACCGATGCCTCCGTGCCGGACCTGCAGGCTAAAGGATGTCGGCTTCCCGCACTCTTAGCACGCTTTTCTCAGCTCCCTCTGCAACACCGAGAGCCGGCACGACAGAGCTGGACCTTCCGGAGCGGGCTCTAGGCCCCTCTCAGCCACAAAGCTCGCTAGGGGACGTCAGGTCAGTTGTAACTCTCACAAGGTTGTTGTGGGAATGCAGTGCAGAGGAGAAGGTTTGTGTAAGCCACCAGGGCTGTGGGGCCGGTTATGTAAAACATCGGACTCTGGCTCCTCACTTTATGGTACCTTAGACTCTGACTCCTTTCTTTATATATCAGTATAGAAAATAAATATACTAATGATTCCTTTTGTGTATCGATTTGAAGCACTCAGCCTACAAGGCTTTCCATCACTGGCAACGTGCACCATCAAAGTAGCTTAAGCAAATTATCATCTGCGGAACAGGAACCTTTAACATATTATTTATATTACAATTTAAATTTATTATGAGTGGGAGTTGGCACATTTTTACCCACTCCAACTCCAGCTCCAGGAACCATAGAATAGAACCATAGAATCATAGAAGAGTAGATTTGGAAGGGGCCGTGAAGGCCATCAAGTCCACCCCCTGCTGGTGCAGGACACCAAGTCACACCATCCCACCCAGGTGGCCGTCCACTTTCGCCTCGAATGCCTCCAGTGTGGGAGAGCCCTGCACCTCTCCGGGCGGCTGGTCCCACTGCCGTGTTGCTCTGGCAGTGAGGAAGCTTCTCCTGATGCCCAGCCTGCATCTGGGTTGTCGCAACTTGACTTGGTTATTCCGTGCCCTACTCTCTGGCATCACCAAGACTTACTTTTGACTCTGACTCCTTTACTCCAACTCTCCAGAAGCCACTTTGGGTTCCTTGCTAGAAAAAAAGCAGATATTAATATAATAAGCCAAGCAAGCAAACATCACCCACAGCGTCCTTTTCCTCCCATGGATCCTCTTTTCTAGCATGATCTCCAGGAGAGGGAGAAAACTTATTCGATAGAGAAAGAGGAATATGCTGGATGCTTTGAAAATCTTATGCTCAGGGATGTGCAAATTCTCTGCAGCCGCCTCAGGGAGAGCGCCTGTGAGCCAGTGCTGGTACGTTGTCAACAGAAACCAGCATCTACACAACATCAGCGGCCCTCTGCCGTGCCGTGCGTGCAAGCGCTGCGGATGCTGGGTGAGCGTTGATTCCCCCGGCACATGGGCCCTGTTGGATCCTTCCTAAATCGATGCTTTTGCAGTTTATTCGATTTTATTTCTCCTGGCACCGAGCTCAGCCGCCTGTCTATAATTTGATTGTACCGCAAACCATCCCCGGACTGTGGAAGTGCCTGATGCGACACTTCCGCACGGGGTCACAACCGCGCCTTTTGCGCCCTGCTGTGTGTGAGACCCCCTCGAGTGCCGCCGCGGCGACAAAGAGCTTCTCTCTGTCTGTCTCCAGCCCAGTCGCTTCCATTCCTTGACCAAGAGCTTGTTATTTCAAGCTCTTGATGATCCCCGAAGCTAAGTATAGATAGCGCCTTCTGCATGCAGGCTTCGCCTTTCCCATATATTCCAAACATTTATGGCCTCTGCACCCCTTTCTCACTGAAAGTATTTCCTTCCTTTTGGGAGGCAAAGCTCATAAATATTTGTACGCCTTCTTGATGGCCTGTTAGCCCATCAGGCATCATAGAACACTCTGAAACAATAAAGCTTGCGAGAATAAAAGCAAGAATGGTAAAAACATTTTAACAAGTGGTCTTATTGTCCTTAGACTGCATCTGGGGGGGGGGGGGCGCACTGCTCCTCATATTCCCAGAGCTCCTCCGCTTGGAGATAGTGCTCTGTCCTCGGACTTGCAGACGGGTCCAGACGGTGCAGCCTCGGAGAAGGGGTGGTGGCAGCGGCAGTGGCTGCCACTGCTTGTCATCTGCAGGTTTGGTTCCCTTTTAAAGGATGTGAGGATCTGAATTTTATTTTTAATCCAGAGAAAGCTAGGACTGCGGAAGAGCTTGGTCTTTCACGTCATGATCATCAGTGCGGATCCCGTGAACATCCCTGCGTTCTTTCTTTTAGAACAGCCTTCTCTTATTTATTTATTTTTCGATTTATATCCTGCCTTTTTCCTACAAAGGACTCAAGGCAGCTTACCCCTCCTCCTCCATCTTATCCCCACAACAACAACCCTGTGAGGTGGGTTGGGCTGAGCGTCTGTGACTGGCCCAAAGTCACCCAGTTGGCTGCATGGCCGAGCGGGGACTAGAACCCAGATCCTCTGAGTCCCAGTCCCAGGCTCTTAACCACTACACCACACTGGCTCTCTTCTCGTCTCTGACACCCACCTGATGTCTTTGGCCCACAGTGGCAATCGACCCCAGCCAGCAGGCCCAGTGCTGGGGATGATGGGGAATGCAGTCCCCCACATCTCAAGGGCACTGGATTGGGCGAGGCTGTTCTGGCCTGCTTGGGGAATGCTGCTTAGTCAAGGGCTCAGCAGATGGGAAACCTGCCTGTTTTCGGGCTGTTCTCTGCAGCCACGATGGCAGAAATGCCGCTTTACAAAAACTCCGAACACAAGGACGCAAAACACATCTGCACGCACGCACAGTGGACGCGTGGGGATTTCCCGGGCAGTGTGTGTGTGCGCGAGTCCTTCGTTCTGGCCACTCCCATCTGCCCCAGCAGCACCTGTGACTCATGGCAATGTGTCGAGAAGTGTAAGTGGACACCGGGAGGGAGAGGGCTATCCAAGTTCTCGGCCAGCTCTGCTCCGTGCGATGGCGGGGCGGGGGGAGCATGAGAGAGCGAGGGGAGCTCCGGTTGCAGCCCCTCTGGCCACGCACTCCTCTGATCCTTGGCCAGAAAAGCTGCTGAAGGGGCAGGCAGGGGATCCGGCTGGCACTGCCCTGCCCTGCCCTCTTCACACATCCCGCGGCCACCATATCCTAGCAGATCCCGGGGACTTTCGGGAGATGGTTTTCACGATCCAGCATGGAACTTCCCCTGAGAAGGACTCAGTTTTTAAAAAAAAACTGTTGGAAAACACCCATTTCTGGCGAGCCAGCATCTCTTCCCCTGCACCGTGCCTGTTCTGTCCAAGTGGCTTACATAAGACCAGTAACATTAGACAGTCTCTGCCTGCAGGCTTGCAGTCCAAGAAGTCATGACACAAAACGAAAAAGGCGTGAGGGGGGAAGAGGAAAACGAGCAAATTGGAGCACCAGTGAATAGTTTTGTTCCGGCTGGAACAGAAACTGCATGAAGGTGATGTGAAAGACAGACCCTTGCTGGATCTCTCTCCCACTGCTGCAGCCAGGAGAGATGGGGCCACCTTACGAGGGAGACTCTGCGGACGTGGCAGGCAGAGCAGCTGCGTGATCCTGGCAAAGGCATCACTCCTGGGAGGGCTCGGATCCGTCGCCCCCCCGCGACCCTCGGCCCACCCCTCAGACCGTGCTGGAATTGGGGCGTGCAGACCGGGAACCCTTCTGGAGACTTGCACCCTCTGCCAGGCTCCCAGAAGCAAATGGAGACCAAGAGAGGCGCACACAGGCGTGAGCAGGGCCTTTTTAGAAAAAGAGAAAGGATGTTATTCATTTTTTAGCCCTCTGGGGCTGATTCTGGAGGGTGGGTAAAGACCAGGTAGGAAGCTTAAACCTCCCGTACATGCCCGGTGTTCTCTGCCTGGATTGGGCACCATGTGCTCTCAGGCGGAGGGCTTGTCACTGCGTTGTACATCGGTGGCCACAAAGAGCAGGGCCTTTTTGGTGTTGCCCCAGGTTCCAGAGTGAGCCCCCTGGAGAAACTTGCCCAGGGCTTGCGTTGTGGTCCCTTCGCCCTCAGAGGAAGATCCCCTTATTTCCCCAGGCATCAGAGTCTTTCTGTTGATTTAAATCTGATACTGTATTTTAAATCTTTACCCTGCTGCCGGATTCAGTTTGGCTTTCCGTTTTTATTTCATAATGTAGTTTTCAGCTTTTCAACGGTCGTACCTGAGCATATCGTGACCTGAATTGTTGTGGACTGGCCAGGCGGCTTTGGCAATTGCACAGTATAGAAATGTGAGAAATGAATAACTATAAAAGCATATTTAGCGTCGCCTGTAGTTCAGCCATGAGCATTGCTGAGAGGAGAGTTGGGCAGGCTGCGGGGCGGGGGGGCGAGGCCAGGTGTTGGCAGCTGCAGCAAGGTGATGGGTGCTTGGGAGCTGAGTAAGGTTTTGAACTGCGCCCAAGTGCAAAGATCTGAGCAGGGAAGGGGAGAAGAGCAGCCCTGGAGGTGACCTTGGCTGCGGCCTCTCGGAAAGGCCGAAGATGAAGCTCTTGCGAGTGGCTGGGCTAGAAACGGGGAGGAGGGGAGGCCCTCTGGGCAGAGCCAGGCAGAGTCCCCGTTGGTCTCCGTGGCTTCAGCCCAAGCCCTTCTCTGCCGGAAAACCGAGGCTCAGCTCTCTTGGGCCTGGGTGACCTCTGAACGCTGCCCTGCAAAGGGATCCTGATTCTGGGATCCTGAAGCAAACCAAAGAGAAGGAAGGAATGACGAGCGGATGCATTTGTGTCTTGCTATAAAGTGCGTGGCTGGGAGCAGAGAAACGAGAGGGGTTTGGAACATGTCTCTGGTATGCACCTTGGAAAGCCAAGGACAGGTTGGAATGGTTTTGGGTTGGGGGGCAGAGCTTCTCTGCCTCCTTGGGGTTCCAGCCCAGGTTCCCCAGAGGGCCATACCCCCTGTTCCTGCGCTTCCCCCTTTCCCCCAGCCGTCACTCATTGGCTGGGTCCCTGGCTCTTGTGCCAAGGCTGAGCTAATCGTAGCTTCAAGCTAATTCTGCTGGAGTTTTGGCCCTGACCTTTTGCCTTGGGCCCCACCCACTGCCAAGATGTCCCCCCCCCAGCGACTCCGAAATTGGATTCAGCTGCAAAAGGTTCGACACACCTGCTTTTCATTGTCCTCAAGGGCTGGTCTATCACATCCAAAAGCCCTGTGGCACCTTAAGGACTAAGCAAACATCCGGTGCCTTACGTTTCCGTGGATTAGCACCCATCATTCACTGCAGAGGGCTGCAGAGCGTGTGGTACTGGAAAGCTGGGAAGCTTTTCAATCCACTGTGGGATTTCGGGGTCCCCTGCTTGTCCCATCTTCACGCACATGCTGCTTTGCTGAGGAACGTGCCTGGGACCCCGAAAGCACATTCCCATCTGCAGCCTTCCTCTCCTCGTGTTTCCTCAACCCTTCTTGGAGTCGAGGCATAAGGCCAAGCCCATGACCGCCCCATTGCTCCAGCCTGAGGTTGGGGCAGGTGTTCAGAGAGGCCGCCCGTCTCCTCGAAGGCCACAGAGGCCCAACTGAGGAGCCTGTCAGGACGATCGGTGGAAAACTGCGACTTCCAGAGGCAAATCCAAATTGTGACGGCTGACTCTGCCATCCTCAGCGGAGGTTGCCGCTGCGGCGTGTGCTTTCCTCCTTGGCCGATGCTTTAATCCTGCCCCTTGTCACCCAGAGAAGACTGGAGGAGTAGTTTCAAGCGTGATGTGGGCCCCTGGGTGCGTCACCGTATTCGCACGGCGATGTGCCAACCAGCGGGAACGGGCTTTGGAAGCAAATCCTATGCTAATGCCTCAGAGTTTAAAATGATAATGATCGCTGCTGAGAGATCCCCAGTGCTGAAAGGAGATGCTGAATTTGCCCTGGGAGAACATGATCTGAGCCACTCCAGAGTTGCCAGAGCTGCCCCAGCCGGAGACCGTTGATGGATGTGGGATTCCCGGCACCTTTTCCCAGATCTAGGAGCAAGGGGCCTTTTCAAGAGCAGGGTCGCCGCACCAACTGTCTGCACGGCAGGAGCAGGGGAACCCCCACCCCCCGCTGGCCTAAGTGGCAGGCAAATTCCCCGAGGATCACTGGAGCCCTTCCGGCAAAACTGGAACAGACAGAGCCTGGCTCATTTCTGCACTCGTCCAGCCAGGCCGCCGCCCCCCCCGGCTGCCGGCACCATCCGTCTCACACGCCCATCCTGTCCCCCAAGTTGCAGCACCCATCTTTCTGTTCAGCGTTTTAGTCACCTTTCTCTTAGGGAGGGAGGGAGGGAAAGAAGGCAGTCAAATATCAAAGCTAAAACCAATTTCCATTAGAATGTCCGGACACAACAAAGCAACTAATCAAACCCACTGATGCTTGAAAAGCCCATCGTATTGCCTTCAAATGCCTGGAGCAAATCAAGTCCTGACTTCACGCTGAAAAGATGTCACCGTTGGCACTAGTCAGGCCTCGCTGGGGAGAGCATTCTCCAGTCAGGGCACCACCTCTAAGAAGGTCCCGTTTCCCCTGTCATCCTTTGAACTCCTCTAAGAGCACCTTCAGCAGCTAAGCACGGCATGTGTTGATTGGGAGTTAGAACAACTATGGATGGAGGCAAGTTTACGGCCTCCGTGGGGATAAAGGTTTGGGACTGGACGTCTGCCTCTCGTATGTGAAGTCATCACAGTGATCTCCTGAGATTCCTGTTTCCAAGCCCAGAATACATCTCCCCGCAAAGTCTCTATCTTGATGCCTTAGATCAGCCTTCTTCAACCTGGCGTCTTCCTGATGTCCAAACCATCTGGAGGGTACCAGTTTGGAGAAGGCTAAACTCTGACCGAGAGAATCCTTGGCACTGCATAGAGCAAAAGTCCATGTTGCAACTAAGAAACTAGGGCCCGAATTTGCTCCGTTTCCCCTCCACTCCGAATTGTCCTTCTTGTTGTGTTTTAAATTGCAAAGCTGTGGGGAGCAGTGATCTTACTTCAGACCCATGGAAGCTGCTCTGGGAGAAGGATCTGAATAATAAAATGGCAGCGTGAGCCCCACCCTCATCAACCCAATGAGTTCCCCCTGGAACCAGGGGCCCTGGTGCCAGTCCCCTGCTGTGGAGATCTCCTCCATCCAAGGATGAGCGTGACGGGCAGAGGGTGCTTTATAAGGCCAGCAGGTCATTTCAGTTTGCCTGGGGGCAGCTTGGGAGATGGGCCAGCACTGCCCCCCCCCCCCCGGTGGCCATGTACCCACGTGCTCACAGCTAATCCGAGCAAGAACCTCGCCGTTGGCTCCGAGTCAGCCGGTCACACACGGACCGTGATGTCACCGGCTCGAAAAGGCAGGCAGCATCTGCTGCCCAGCGGCATTCGCTGGACACGAACAACCGGTGATGCAACCACTGTTGCTTGCGTCCAATGGAAACTTCGGGTTCGGTTTACAGTTTGTGATGCCTCGCTCTCCACGGAGCCCTTGGCCCCGGGCAAAGCGCCTGTGTTTTAACCTTAGGCTTCAACCCGCCGGAGCACGCTCGCTTCCCGGAACAGCCTGGATGTTCTCATCTCCCGTCTATGTCGAATGTGGCTAGCAGAAATCAGCTGATTTGCACCCGTCCACCAAAGCCCTGCGCACGAACACCTGTGTGCCCCCCTCATCCCCGCCCCCCCCCCGGTCGAACCCTGCCCACTGGAATGCAGGACCATTCATACCGTAGGTTATTTTGCTTTAGACCAAAGGAGACCACAGGGAGCATTCAGGTCCGAGCAGAAGTCGGCGCTTGCAGGCATGCCGTTGTCCCGATGAGCTGGGTTTTGGAATTTTGTTTAGGCACTCTTAGATCTCTCCGTGGCGTGACCTGGACTGACCCACGCCAGGAAGGGACTTCAGGGAAGCTGCGATCTGGATACCGAGCCCAGGGCAACAGGCCCACTGCACCCTGAAGCCCTTGTGATGGAAGCGCACTTCCGGGATCTGCCCCCCCTGCTTCCCTCTGCTTCTGCTGCTCTCCCTGCTGTGCCGAGGTCCAGCCTTATGCTTCTTGGGATCTGGACCCAGCCCCTAGGCGAGGCTTCTTCAACCTGGTGCCTTCCAGGGGTTCAGCACTACAACTGCCGTTCCCGCCCATGGGCCAGGCGTGCTGGCCATGACTGACGCCCAGAGCATCTGGAGAGCACCAGGTCGGCTGGTTTATGGCCCCTGGGCCCTACACGTGTGTGCAGGAGGAAGGGGCAACGGGCGCAGGAAGGGGACTCGCTTCCGGCTGATCAAGCCCCGTTTCGGCAAGCGGGGGGATGCTGTGCCTCGGAGGGCCATCACGTCCAGGTGGTGGATCAGACCCTTAGACAGGTGCGGGGGCGGGGGGTCGCTTAATGGCTCGCGGGTAGCCTTCCCAAGTTGCTCTGTGCCCCCCCCCCCCGCAATCAGGGGAGTTGCACAGAATAGGGCAGCCTTGTCTAAAGCGTGGCCAGGCGCAGGGTGAGGCCCTTTCTGCCTGCTCGTTGGAATTATGTTCTGGGACTGCTGCACACCTTTTGTCAATAGCTAAGGAGGGGTGCAGCGGCTGGGAATGTGGGCTTCCATCTTGGTATGATCTTCCGAAAGAAGAATTCTGGGAGCTGCTCGTGTGGGGGGGACCTCACTGGACACGGTGCTTAGTTCCTCCCCCAATGATGCCCCCCTTGAACCCGGAGCTTCAGTGCCTGCTCATGTGTCGTGTCCCGTTAGGATACCCGCAGCCGGAGGTGACGTGGTATAAAGACGAAGAAGAGATGGACCGTTACTGCGGCCTGCCGAAGTACGAGATCTTCCGCCACGGGAATCGCCACACGCTGCAGTTGTACAAGTGAGGAAAGAGGGGTCTGTCTGTCTGTCGGGGGGGAGCTGTCATCTAAACATGATTGCTTGGGATGGAAGTGAAGCCCGCCTCCTGTTCAGCTGACCCCCACGGGCTGCTTCCTAGGATATGCCTCTCCCACAAGGGGCTCTTGCACGTAATTCGGGTCACCTTTGGAAAGGTTCCAATGCAGCGCTCTAAACCCAGCTCTGACATTTCCATTTGAGTTTTGGGGGAAGCTGCGGGGAGCTGGGGGAGGCTTAGCTGGACAGCAGTCTCAGCAAGCTGCCTTTAGAAGGGTCTGGGGCAGAGGAGCAAAGCCACACTTCCCCTCCACCTCACCCCGTGGGCTTGAGAATTCAGGGTTTCCGGCGAGTGCCATTTGCAGGACAGCCCCCCCCCCCCAAAAAAACCCTGAACCACATGGACGTACATTCCATCCACATCATCACCATCTCTCAAACCTGCTTGCCAGAATGCACTCACTAAAGCTGGTTGCAGGTTAGGCCGGGGGAAGGATCAGGGCCACGCCTGGGACTTCCACACATGGCTGTGCTGTGTGCTTCCACGCTTGGCTTCCGCCTGCGAAGACCAGGGAAATGCTCCCGGCCAAATAAAGTTCCGGGGCCAGGCAATTCCCGGGGAGGGAAGCGCAAACGGATCCATTGCCAGGCTGAGGGGAGGTGGCCAGGCTTTCTCCAAGAGGTTGCTACTAGAGTTCTTTTATGGAGGTTGGGCTTTGGAGGAGGAGGAGGAGGAGAAACCAGAGAGGCATCCTGCATGCGCAGGGAGATGGATGTGGGTGTGCAGCCGGGCTGTGCCCGTTGTTGGAAGGTGTTTCTAGAAAGCGCGCACATTTATCAGGTGGGTGGGTGAGGAGGCCGCATTCTTCCCAGTCCCGGCGGCTGACGAGGAAGCAGCTCCCACTGGCTTAGAGCTGACTTGATGCCCACAGCCGGGCGACTGATCCCGGCCCTCCGAGCCACGTTGCTGTCCAGGAATGTGCGAAGGGGCTTTGCCTGTGTGGGGGAGGCACGCTGGGGCTTATCCGCATTCCAGCCACATTTGATTCGCTTTCGTGAGATGATCTGGCTCGGCTGTGCTTAGCGCCCAATATGAATTCCATGTGTTGGGGGGGGGGGGGGTTCAGCGCTCCCACCGTTTCCCATTTTTAAAAGCCTTGGGAGGCGGCAGGCTCAGTGCCTTGCCCACCTCAAGTGGGGAAGCCCATCGGTGCGTTATTACTCTCGGTCCTGAGGAATGCCGACTGTGGGCACACCAGGTAATGCGGAGGGCCCAGGCCCAAGGGCAGAACTGCATTTCGGGGAAGCTGCGCCAAGTGGGGGTGGTCCAAAGCGGTGGCTGAAGATCTCCCCTCCACTCGCAGCCCACGTTGGGCTCTGGCAAAGGGGGGGGGGGGTAAATAAATATTCTGCAATTGTTAAGGAGCTTTATTGTTTTAATTCATTTGGGTTTTTTTAAGGTAACCAGAGCGCTGTTTTTGGTAGAAAGGTGGGAAATGAGTCAAATGAAGAAATAATCAAATAAGGACCTCCAGTTGCTGATCTTGAGAGTGCCTAGATGTCGGGTGCAGCGCCTCAGGCTGGAAAGGAATTCCCCTCCCTCCCCCCCTCCCTTCCCTCCCCAGCCTCTTTCCTCCAGCCACCAGCTGTTGGGGGCTTTCCCAGCTTTCCCAGTCTGAAATGTCCCCCCAGCAGCTTCGTTACTGGCAGGAAGAAGTTTTAAGCTAATGCTGCTGGTATTTTTGGCCCCCCACCCCTGTGCCTTCAGTCCCACCCACCACTGGCGTCAGCTCAGGGCCTACCGAGTCTCCAGAAACGAGGGTCAGAAGTGCAGCTGGGCACGCTCGCGTCACTTGTGGGCCCGGCCCCCTGCGGCTGCACCGCTAAGCACGTCCTTCCCATTTGCATGTGATCTGCCCCCCCCATGCGCTCCCTGGGCAAGAGAACGGGGTGGCGCCAGTGCCCGGCCTGCCAAGGGGAGCTGGGCCCGAAGAGCTGAAACCGGGGAGCCTGAAGTCAGCCCTTTGCTGCACCAGTTTCACTCATCCGAAAACGCTGGGGGCTCACTTGGCGGCTGCATGGCTGCAGGGCATCCTTTATCCTGGAAGGGGGAACCTGCTGCCCTCCAGGTGCCAGGTTGCAGCGCCAGTCATGCCAGAGGGGCTTATGGGGGCTGCTCGTGCTCCACACTTGGAGGACCTCCGCCGTCCCGCAGGCTCCTGCCGTCAGGCAGCAGAGAAGCCCGGGCGACCCTTCTCTCCCGCTGCGCGTTCTCACGGCACCGTTGCCCTCTGCCCGCAGGTGCAAGGAGGAGGACGCCGCCATTTACCAGGCCTCGGCCCGCAACAGCAAGGGGATCGTGTCCTGCTCCGGCGTCCTGGAGGTGGGGACCATGACGGAGTACAGGATCCACCAGCGGTGGTTCGCCAGGCTCAAGCGGAACGCGGAGGCCAAGCTGCGGGAGATCGAGCAGAGCAGGAAGCGGGGAAAGGAGAACGTGGAGGTGGAGCTGCTGAGGAGGGTGAGCCCGGACCGGTTCCAGAGGAAGCGGCGGCTGACCGGGGAGGTGGGCATGCGCTCGGGCACCTCCCTGTGGGACAGGGAAGAGGTGGCCAAGGTGCGTGTCCCGGAAGGGAAGCCTCGGTTTGGCGAGGACGAGAAGCCAAAGAGCAAGGAGCCTGCGCTTCGTGCCAGCACAGCCCTGCTCTCGAAGAACTTCATAACGGGACAGCTGGAGGCGGACATGGCCACCAACGGGGACTCTTCGCTCCAGAGCGGGGAGGAGAATGGGGAGGAGGACGCCAACGGCTTCCTGTCGTACATCTATGAAACTGTGGAGAAGATGAAAACCAAGCCCACAACCAAGGACTTTGCTGCTAAGAAGAAGAAGAAGGAGGAGGGCGCTGCCGCCGTGCCAAAAGCAAGCAAGGATGCTTCCCGACAAGAGGACGGGACCCGGCCCAGGAGAAACATCTCTCCGCAGAAAGAGGCCAAGCCCGTCCCCTCGCCTAGAAAGATCTCACCGGCGGCAAAGAAGGAACACCTTAAGGAAGCCGAGCCCAAGGAATCTCCTAGCCGGGTAGCCAAAAAACCGGCGCCCTTGCCACGTTCTGCACCTTCTAACACGGGAACTGCTGATGTGTACTTTTCTCTGAAAGAGATGTATTTTGAGAATGAAGCGAAGCCTGAAGTAGGGTGGAAGGCACCCGAAGCGAAAGCAGGCGAAGCTGATACAGGCCGCCCGGGGGTTGATGCCTCCGCTTCAGTAGCAACTGTCCCAGAAACCAGTCTGGGCTTGAAAGGGGCGAAAACAGAGCCAGGGAAGCAGAGATCCCACGAGGAGCGGAAGGCCCCAGCGGCAGGCCCCAGCGGCAGGGGTGCCAAAGCAGTCGCTGTCGACACAGCGGCGCACTCGAGCACACCTTTGGGGCCGCATCCTGAGCAGGCCGCACAACCTACAGCAGAGTCCCTTCAGTCCGACGAACGCGCTGCAGAAATGGATGCTCAGCCCGTCGGCCAGGCCTCGGAGACCGACCTCGGCTCGCGAGAGGATGGACGGGGGACGGCGGGGCTCATCCGCGAGACGGACCTGCCGGAGGATCTCCCCGCCGCAGCCGAGCCTGCCCAGCAGCCCCAGGAGACGGTGGGTGCCGACGCGTCCGAGCCCGGGCGTGGCGCGAGGCGGGGCCGGCCGGGGCCCTCCTTGGAGGAGCGGCTGCCTGCCCGAGGGCCTTGTGTGGTACTGTGCGCTCCGTCTTCTGGCGAGGTGGGCCTCATGCAAGCATGTTTCCAAATCGGTTGGGCAGCAACTGCCAAGCAAAGCTCCGCGCCGGCTATTTTTAGCCGGATGTGCTCGACCAGCATAAATGGGGACGGGGCGCAGGGCGTCTCTCCCGGCCAACACTGACCCCTGGCTTCAGGGCACTGCACCAGCCAGGCCTGCTACCTTGGGCCGGGCCGGGCCGGGCCGGGCTGTGGCCAGCGGGCCGGTCTGTGGCCAGCGCGCGGTCAGTCCCGGGCCGCTACCAGGCCCTCTGCGCTTCCCCTGCAGCCCGAGCACAGCTGCTGCTGGCACTCACCGCTCCGGTCCCGCGGTGTCAATTTCCACCGTGCGCCCGGCGTGTTTGCCATGCAGTTCTGCCCTAGGGAGGCGGCTGCCCCTCTTTCCAGGCGGTCTTCCTCATGGAGGGGTCGTGCGCTCAAGAGCCACGCGGCTGGCACCGGAGCGATCCCTGCGGCAGCAGGGCGCGTGGGGGTCTTTTCCAGCCCGGGCTTCCGTGGGCCCAGGGCTGAGGGGGCTCCTCTTCCCGGGCAGCTGGGCAGCGGCGTCCAGAGCCCGCACGCCTGCCCGGCCGAGCGCTCCAGGGCCCGGGGGCTGAGGCGGGAACGTGCTTCTCACATACTGAGTGACTCTTGGCCGTCCCGGCCGATGCCAAGACTCCCGGCTGCAGGCTCCCTTCCTGCGTCTTGCTATGATGTCTCGGGCCTGCCAGGTGGAGCGTGGTGCAACAGGGGGGTCCGTGGGGGTGGGTGCTGCTGGCGCCACTTCTGAACGGCGGCCACGCCTGTGACCGTCCCCGTTGTCAAGCCCGCAAGGAGAGGCCGAACATTTTGGGAGGAATCGGCGCACCGGTTCCAGCGGGTCCTCAGTGAAGCCAGTGGGTGCAGTGGCCCATTCAGGGCCCGGCCCCTGCAAAAGCGCATTGCTTGACAACGGGGTGCGGGGGGAACGCGCGTTCGCTGCAGCGATTTCCCCCACTCAGCCCAGGGGCTTGTTCTCGGCGCCAGCATGAATAGCCGCCCTTTGCACACCGAGTCCTCCCTGATGCCTCCCCAGAGCTCCCTCCAGCGACCTGTTTTAGGGGGGAAAATGCGCTTTTTGTTGCCTCAGGGTGCAACCCTACGCGTGTTCAGACGGCTTCAGCTTGCAGGGAGCGTAGTCCTCCCAAACGCGCACCTTCGGATTTTGACAGCCGCAAATCAGAAACGCTTGCTGGCTTGATTGCACATCACCCGGAATTCCAGAAATCTGCTTTCTGCTTGCCGACCGCTGTGCTGAAGTGTCGGCTGAGAGGATGTCCGCTCTGCAGGGAGGGTCTTTTGACTGGTCGCCCATTGAAGGGTCAAGGCAGACTCAGATCATCCTGTTAAAGGGAGACGACAAGCTTCTTTGTGTCGTCTGGTCCGGATTCCTTGGAACAAACCAATGGATCGAGTCAGGAGAGGGAGTTCTGGGCATTCCCTAGCGGCAATTCCGGATTCTGTTCTCTCTCTCTCTGACGTTCTGGCCAGGCAACCGGCAGCCCATCCCTCTGGTGCTCGGCGGAGCGGGGCACTTGTCCTGCGTCTCCCTCCGCTCTGTATCAGCAACATTCATGACGTCTGCGGGGTCTGTAACCATCAGCATGCAGTTCCGAAGAGACCACGTGTTGTGGTCGTTCACTCCGACAGCTTCTGCTTGGGAACTCGTCCCGGTGCTTGCCGGATGACCTGCTCTTGTGCTTCGCCGTTGCCCGGCTCTGCGTGATGGGCAGCAGCTGGGCAGGGTCTCCGGGAGAGGCTTCCGTCAGCCGTGCTCCAGCCCCCAGCCGGGACCTTGAACGGGGTCTTCACGGGGATGTTTTAGGCTTAAGAACAGTCCTGCTGCCCCCCCCTTGGCTCAGTCCGGGAACAGGGCTCGGTCTTTCCCTCCGCATCGAGGGTGTCCTCGCGATCCCTCGAGTGGTGACGCGGCACACATCGTTAAGGATTGCCAGAAAGCCGCTCGATCCAGCGTGTGTCCGCGGCCCCGCTGCACCTGACGCAGCAGGACGTTTCTCGTCCGCGTCTTGAGGGACGTGAATGGATGCCCATCGCCGCCCCGCTCCGCATGACGCAACGCAGTAAAATTCCTTTTGCTCGCCTGCCACGGCCTTCCGTGCAAGACCTGGGTGTACCAGCGGCTGCTGCATCTGGACCCGTTGCACCGTGGCCAAGCTGCAGCAGCCAGCAGTGCGTTCTCCATCGTCCTGCTGCAATGCTGCTGCAGAGGCCTTCCTGCCACGCCGTTCGGGCCAGGCCACGGCTGCCGCTTCTGCCGCCAGGGGGCTTCCTCCCCTTGGAATACTTACCGGCCCCCTTGGAGAGGCTTTCGGCCATCGGAAAGTGCTGCCGCCCTTCTGGAATGTGCTTGGAGTGCCACCATTTTAGGAGACGCAACGCAGCCCTGGGTGAGGAAGGGGCTTTCCCAGCTAATCGCAGGGTCAGATGCTTCCTGCCCGTGTTACCGGTTCCTCCAGTCTTCGGGCTCGTGCCCGAGTCCTGGGCCACAACAGGTGTGACATGTGAGCCCACCATCATCTCAGAGTTGAGGCAGCTGCTGGGAGCTTGGATTTTGATGGGAAGGGGGGCTGCTGGGCAGGGGGGCATTCAACCCCTTCTTCCACACCAGGGCCCCCGTCTAATTCCCCCTGCAAACTCCGAGCAGCCCCACTAGGGGGAGTTGCAGCCATCTGAAGGTGCTGGTCTCCCCACACCCTGCCCCAGGGCAGGCCAAAGAAGCGTTGAGGGGTGCAAGGGGGAGAGAGTTGGGGCGGAGGATAAGTGGCGTCCAACAGCACCTGCAGAGACAGGGATGTCCAGCCCTGCCCTTTCCTCAGGCCACATCTCTGCCCCCCCCCCCCGTCGGGACAGAGCTCGCCCCTCGCATGCAGCAGGCGGTAGGTTCCATTCCCAAGAGCGGGGAGGACAAACAGTTCTCTCGCCCTTCCCCTGCACCTTTGCTGCTCAGTGCCAGCTTCACCGGGTTGAGGTCGGCCTCGGCTCTCTTCTGTCTTCCTCCTTCCTTTGGCGTGGAGCCTCTCCCTGGGCTGCGCCGGTCCCCCTCCACCCTCCAGGTGTGCGCCTGCAGCTTGCCTGCTCTTGCTTGGACGCCTGGCCAGGGCTCGGCATGGCCACTCCTCCGGAGCCCGATGCCCGTCTTCCCAGGGGCGCTTTGGCACTGCAACCGCGGCAGCCCAAGCAGCTTTGCTCCCGGACTCCACCGGGCAGAAGCACCTGTTTGTGCGGATCCCGTCACCTCCGCGGATCACCGTTTCCAGCGCAAATCCACTTGGCAGAAAGGAGCGTGGCAAAGCTGGCCGCTCTCCCCGCTCGTTTGGTGTCGCCGCAGTTCGTACCAAACAGCAGCGTGATGGAGCCAGAGAGCAAAAGGGTCGGTCTGACGGTCACAGAGGGCATCGATTTGAACAGCGACTTTCCGAAATGCTGTGGAATGAGCTCAGGTTGGAACACCCACGCTGCAAAAGGTGGGCAAGGGAAAGGCAGGGCGTTTGGAAGTGCGGGCCTCAGCAGGATGTCCCTGGGCCAGGCTGCTGCCTGGATCCCTCTCAGTAAACCAGTTCTGCTGGTTTTCATCTCCGCTGCAAGAGGGTCTTCGGTGAAGCAAACAAGCTCCGCTGCCATTCGAGGCCGAGCGCCCCAAATACTTCGCATTGCAGCAGGGCACAAAATGGGTGAGGACGGTGCCTCGTTCAGGGGGTTGTGGTGGGGTGGCCGATGGGCCCACTGCCCGGCCCTGGCCGCCGCGTGAGCCTCGCTTTTTCTTCATCCCTCGAGCAAGAGGAGGGAGACGTCAGGGCTGGCTGCCCTCCAGGGCTTCCTTGACGTCAGAGGGTGTGCTGTTTCTCTTGGTTGGTCAGGCCTTGGACAAATCCACGAAAAACATGTGACCGCCCCCCCCAGAAAGAACTAAGCAATGGTGGGGGGGGCAAAGCACCATTCCGAAGGAATTGCTCGAGTGCTGTTTCGCTCCGGAGCTTCCAGCAAGGCTGGGTCTGTTTTGCAGCAACAGGTGCATTTGGGGGTGGCTGGAAAATGAACCCAGGCCTGGAATGGGGAGATCTTGCCATTTTCTTCTGTAATGCCGGGCCCCGATCGATAGGAGCACCGTCGTGACCTGGGCTGAGGGAAGACTTCCCCAGTCTGTATGTTGTGGATAATGGCCCCCGTCATCCCTGGCCATTGGTCTTGCTTGCTGGGCTGTTGTGATCCCAACATCTGAAAGGCGCCACGTTCAGGAAGGCTGATCTGGGGCTTTGCATTTATTAAAAAAAATAGATTTATATTCCATTTCCCCCCCAAAGAACTCAAAGTGGCTTACATCTTTCTCTTTCTTAACAACAGCCCTGTGAGGTAGGCTGGGCTGGGAGTCTGTGACTGGGCCCAAGCCACCCAGTTCGCTGGCTGGCTGAGTGACTACTGGAACCCGGATTCCTCGAGTCCCAGTCCTGTGCTCTTAACCACTGCGCCATACCGGCCCGTATACCGTGGCTCTTGATGTTAAGGACGAAGGGAGAGACCAGGGACCCTGGAGCCGTGGGGTCTTCACATGATGTGTGTGTGTTTCATTGCACCTGGCAGGACCCTCTGCTGAAGGGGTACAGAGCCTCAGGCCTGGAGGCCACGCTCAGCACTTCGGGGGTTCCCTCTTGGGTGGCCACGTGCCCTTTACCCCCGACCACCGATCTTGGAGTGTCTTTCTAGGTTGGGCATCCCCCTCCCCCTAGTTCTAAACTTCAAATGACGACATGCCAGCCCTGGCGGCCAGATCCCCGCGGGCCTTTGGCCCAGGCTGCGCCCCCTTGGAGCTTCTCCCAGGTGGGGTTGGGCCTCCGGCTGGACGAGGCCCCTGGCGCCCAGCTGGCGAAGGCTGCTGGGGGCGCCTGTGAGGGCCCGTCTCCATGCTCGGCCGCCCTCTTGCTGAACTGGAGGTGCCGAGGCCCAGCGGGGCTCGGGTGCGGCCAGCAGGATCAACTGCCTTGATCGCTGGCCTCTGCGGTTCAGTGGATCGGGCCGCCGGTTACGGGGGAGACCTTTTCCTGCCTGGAAATCCACAAACCAACAAACCAGCCTCCTTGAGATGTGTTGGACTACAACTTCCTTGGTCCCCAGCCAGCGTGCTGTTTCTTAAAACTGCGAAGTCTTTCTGGGCCACTTTCAGGACACCCGAGTCCAACACGAGGTGGCTCCCACGGAAGTAGGAATCCATGGATGCTGGCAGAGCTGTTCTGTTTGCATCTCGCGGATTCGTAGGAATCTTCTGCCCTTCCTTCACTGACTGACTGCATCGGGATTTTTACGCAACAGCAGGGCATCATGCTCTGCTCAGGCTAATTTGCATTCGCACAGTCGCTCGAATCCAGAATGGTCCGTGCACGTTTGCGCAGAGGCATCCCAAGGTCAAAAACGGGGCCACAGGTGCACGGAATCCGCATGGCCAAGGAAAAGCAAGGCAGCTCCGATTCCGAGAGACCGGGCTTCATCGGAATGGGCTGGAGCTTCTCTGGCAGCCCTCCCGCCAAGGGCTGCTTCGCCGTTCTCGGCCAGGAGGGCTTCACTCGCACAGCCTCCTCCTCTTCCTTCTGGCTTTAATGCTTTCCTCCCTACCAACGACATGGCTCTGCTTTCACAACCTCCGCGCAGGCCGCGGCCCCGGGACCCCTCTGCTCCGCTCCGCTCCGCTCCACTCCCCTCCCGCCCAGCCCTCGCTTAGCCAACCCGACGGATATAGCTCGTTTAATCTCCTCCAGACGTCACTCCTTCCAGCCACCTGATCCCGCGCTCGCTGCCATGGTGTTGTTCGGGCTGCTATTTCTGGTGTGATTGCAGCATCCTCGGAGGGAGGGGGCCGCTCTTTGTCCCTTGCAGGGTGTGCCCCGGGAGCCCCGGGCCTCTGCTTTTGGGCGGCAGCCACGTTTCACGGGTGGAAAGGTGGCCCTGTCCTGTCTCCGGGCATGTTTCCAAGTAACTCAATAAAAATCCTGCGGTTTGCAATCAGGAATTAATCATGGGCCTCCTCTGCATAGCTTATTAGATCCAAGGGTTTCCAAGGAGGGAGGAAAGAAGCAGAAACCGTGGGTGGGGTGGTGGGCTGAGAGAGCAGCAGCTGCAGGCGGTGACCACCGGAAGCTGCGCCAGCCTTTCCATCCTGCTTTCCTGGAAGTGTTTTGTAGACCAGCAGCCGCTTCCTTGCTGGCTGGTGGATGGTGGGAGTTGAAGTCTCCTGCCTCGTGTAGATGCTTTCTTTCTAAGCTGGCCTTTGCTAGCCTGGTCCCCTTCAGATGCGTTGGACTACAAAGACAATTTCCGTGCTGCCTGGGGGACAATGGGAGTTGAAGGCCAACGTGTCTGGCGAGCATGTTTTGGGAAAGGCTGCCGTAAGCAGGTGCCAGCTGATGCGTCGCGAGTTCATCGCTGCCTGCTTGGAGTGCTGTTGCGCAAGGCTGGGCTCCGGTGGGCAATGCTTTGGAGAGCAGAAAACAACCCCCTTTTCTGCAGATCCTGATATGAAGAAGGGCTTACCAAGGGAGTCAGAAATGTCCTGGCATTTGAAAAGATGAAAGAGTAAAATGGGAAAGTTTCAAAAAATGAAGCCCAGTAAAATGAGCGCACACCTGGTTTGGTGCTCTTGCCAACGAGCCCAGAGCATCTGATGGCAGGCGAAAGAGTATTTTACCAATTCCTGGGCCATCCTGAAGCATCCTTTGGCTCTGGGGAGAAGGATTTGTGAGGATTTGTGAGAATTCAAGAGAAAGAATTTGTAACCTCTGTTGTTTCTGGTTGGGAATATCCATTGTTCAGCTCATGATCTTTGAATGCATTAAGAAAGAGCTGTTTTTGAGCCCAGCTTGGCCTAAGCTGTAATTTATATCAAATATTTGAATGGAAATAATGGGAGGACATCCTGAAGCAACAGATGGAAAACTCCCTTTAAAAAGAAATGGGTTTTTTAACAAAGAGGAAAGCAAAAGAACATGCCAAGATTATGAGCCAAGAAAGAATTGGGGTGTGTGTGGAGGGGGGTATTTTAAGATGGTTCTTCAGAGAAGCTTATAACTACCACACTGGTTCTGAATTGAGTTGATGGACCTTTGCCCATCGCTCCCAATAACCTTCCCGTGACCTGGCATTCTTTGTTCCCAGGGGCCAGAAAAGGTATCCTTGACCTTGCCTGTTGTTTCTAATCTGCAGACTCCAGATTCAAGTCTTCGAGAAGAAACAAACCAGGAAACTGGCTATTTTGCCTTAAATAAAGGTGTCCCTGGAACGGCAGAGACCAAACGGCCCGAGGAACAGATTGGCTCCAGCCCAGAGAGCCAAGAGCTAAGTGAGGAAGACAACCAGGATGCCCCACGGGCTCCCCAGGCACCTCCAGCCTTTGATCCTACACCACCAACCAGGAAGAAGCATTTGCGTTTGAAAGAAGATGTGGGGAGGCCTCCCTCCAGCACTGGCAGCAGCCCAGCTCCCAACCTTGGGAGGGCGGAGTTAGTCGCTCCCAGATTAGCATATCGGGAGGCAAATAATGAGGCTGGACCTGAAGCCCAGGTGGATGGACTTGCCTGGCAGGAGGAAGCAGAGAGCCTGGGGAAGCAGGAGGAAATGCTCCCGGGGCACAAGAGCCCTGGTCTGAAAATGGATCGGGAGTGCGAGGATGTGAGGCCTCCAGCTGCCGCAGCCAGACCGTTCCTGCCCCCAGAATGTGCCGCAGACACCCCGGTTCCCCCCCGAGGCGTCTCAGAGGAGCCTGGCGGGATTCTAGCGGCAGCGAGTCCTCCCGCTGGCCGGAAAACCCAAGAAGCAGCTCCGCTTCCTCCAGAGGAGGGCAGCCTGATGGAGGGGACGCAGTCTGTGGCCCATTTGCTGAGGGAAGTCAAGGGAGAAATGGAAACCCAGTTGCCAGCTCAGCCGGCACCGCCTGAATCCGAGCAACAAGGCCCCAGTGCTGCGGGCGAGCAGCTGCACGTCACGGAAGGGCCCCCAGTCCCGCCAAGGAGCAAGGGGAAGGCGGAGGAGGGCTTCCTTCTCGGCAAGAAGCCAGAGGTCAGGGCTGCGGAACCGGAGAAAACGGGCCCCAAGGCTCCTGGGACACAGGACTCGCCCCAGCTGGAGACCGCCATGGAAGAGGAGCAAGCCGAAGACAAGGCCCAGCACAGCGACCTTGTCTCCTCGTTGAAGAATTACTTGCTTCTGCTCTTGAAGTTGAGCACAGAGCAGGATAACGGCAAGGGCAGCCCCAAACGGGAGGCGAAAGCTGTGGAGGGAAGGAGTCCACCGACTGCTATTCCGAGGCACCTGCCTGATGTGGGCATCGCTGGGCTGACCCCCAGAACGTCACGGAAGATCTTTGAGCGCGTCGAGACAAACCAGCTCTTCCAGAGTGCCGAGAGCGTGCAGCTGACTCCCAAGACGTCCAGGAGGCTCACGGGGATGATCAACCGGGAGATGATGCTGTGCCAGGAGGGCCTGCTGGCCGACCCGGAGGCCCCTGCGTTGCCCTGCATACCCTCAATCGTGGTGGGGGGCGTTCCCGGAGAGCCAGCGGGGCTCCCAGAGCTGTCTCCAGAGACGTCCAGCGAGGCGGTGGGGGCCCTGCCGAGCGCCACCCCGCAAGAGCTGGCGTCCGGGGCGCGGCGAAAAATCTTCCTGCCCAAAGCTAAGCAGGCCGAGGAAGCGGAAGGGGCCGAGGGCCACGCACGGCCCAAGAGGGACAGCCCCAGCGTGTCCCCGCAGCAGGGCCGCAGGAATGCAGCGCTCCTGCAGACCTCGACCCCGGGCTCTCCTCCTGCGGAGAAGCGCTCGCCGACGCTCGCCAGGAAGATGGCCATGCTGGAGGTGCCCAAGATGTACGAGGAGCCCGCGGAAGAAAGCCCGACCGCGGCAGACCTTTCCCTGGCCGCCCCGGAGGGTCTGGAAGAGCCTGCGCTAGAAGTCCAAGCCACGGAACCCCGCAAGGCAAACGACCCGTTTAAAGGTGTGGGGGGGGGGCAGGCATCTTCCTGAGTTCTGGTGATGCTTCTGTGCCCGGTGGTGGAGGGGGCAGTTCGAACTGGAAAGGTCCCCAGCGCAGGAGGGGCGAGAGGAAGCGGGGGGGTGCCTCTTTTCTTCCTTTTGGTGGCCCCCGTTCCCTCCCCACAGCATTCCCCTGTCACGGAAGGGGCTGGGCACTGGTGTGCGCAGGTGCAGGTCACCCACGGCCACCAGGAATAGAAACCCTGGAGAAAACCTGGCAAGACCGGCCTAGGCGGCCTTTGGGGCCGGTGGGCATGTTTGACCATCCGGAACCCGGTCCTGGCTGCGCGCGAGGCCCTGGGGGAAGGAACCTGCTCCAGAGACAGGACCAGGCAGAGGCGGGGGCTGAGTCTCGCGGAGAGCAGCTTGTTAACTTTGCGAAATGGTGGGAGAGGCTTGGCACCTCGGTGGGGGCCGAGAGAGGCACCTGGGGCGCATGGTGCTGGTGGTCCCACATGGCCACACCGGCTCCTCCACGTGGGGGCTGGCCCCTTGCTGTGGCAGAGGGAGCAGCGGCAGTGGGGCGCGGCAGACACTGGCGATGCCCCGTCGGTGGGAAGGTGTGGCCACGGCGGGACAGGGCAGGGCTCCCGAGGGGCCCTCCGTGGGGCGGAACCCACCCGCAAGCACCATGGAGAGCCCCTCGAAAGCCCCCAGGCCATCGGAGGGGGGCTCACAGGCTACAAGGAGGAGCAAGAGCCAAGGACGGCGCTCTAGAACAGAATTCCGCCTGAAACCTTGGATAGCTGCTGCCAGTCTGTGTCGACAGTATAGGGCTAGCTGGACTCCATATAAGGCAGCCTCCCCGTCGCTGAGCTCCCCTGCTTGCATCGAACCGCAAGCGGAACAAGACCCTTCCGTAGGCCCGTTCTCAATGCCTCTCACCTGGCACAGCGTGCCCATGTCCAAGATCCTGCAGCGCCTGAACCGCTCCGCCAGGCTGGTGTGCAGAAGCCCGGCTCACCTACCACTGGCCACTTTCTTCCTGTAGCCCCACAGGTGATCCGCAAGATCCGAGCCGAGCAGTTTTCCGATGCCTCCGGGAACCTGAAGCTCTGGTGCCAGTTCTTCAATATTCTGAGCGACTCGAAGCTGACCTGGTACAAGGATGAGGTCCCCGTGGCCAGTGCCAGAAGGAGGTCAGTCGCGTGTGAGCTGCCACAGGCCAAACTGGAAACATGCCCCTGCCCAACGCTGCAGAGCGGCTTCCCGTCAAAGTCTGTCATGCTGGCCTAGATGGCCCAGGGCCCGGCCCCAAGCCAGTCGGCTCCTGTGATCCTGCAGCTTGTTCTTTTATCCTTTCCGAGTTCTTTGTTCTTCCTTCTCTTAAGCAACCCAGGAACTGGAGGGGAGCAAACCAAGGGAGGCCAACTCTGCTGGCCCCGTCCGGGGATGCGAGAAGGGCACGCGGGTCGTGGCTGAAGGGATGTGCTGGTCACCATTTCCCCAAAAATGCCAATGGGACAGATTTTTTATTTTCATTTCCACATAGACCTCATCTCTACGCCTGGAATCGTGTGTGGGGCCTTTTTTTATTATTTTTTTGGAGCGGTGGTGCAGTCCGGGAAAGCAGCAGGGACAAAGCTGGGCCAGCGGCACGAAAAGCGACCACAACAGGCAGCGGGGCATTGAAGGGATTAGGTGGAGGTTGGAGCTGGAGGGGGTCCCGGCACCTCCATGGCGCAGAGATCCCCGCGGGCAAAAGCATTTCTCCTAGGCTGCCGTCTTTCCGAGAGCGCTTCCGAAAGACGGCAGGGAAGAGCAGGGCCTGATGGCAGCCGGGGGAGATGCCCCTGCCGTCTGGAGCAGCCGGGGCCCCGCTCCTCCGCTCCCCTCGGTGGCAGCCCGAGGGCAAGTGCGCCGTTTGCCCCGTGCTCACCGCCCTGCGGCTCTCCTCCAGCTCTGGGGACGAGGGGCAGGCCGCCCTGGCCATCGTGCAGGTCTCCCTGAAGGACCGCGGCGTGTACCAGTGCACGATCCAGAACGAGTACGGCACCGACTCCACGGACTTCCTGCTGAGTGCCGAAGGTGAGACCGGCCGCTCCTCGGAGGCCTGCGTGGCCGAGGGGATGCCATCTGTGCCCGGGCGGTGGGGGGCTTTGTTGGGCCTGGCTCTTCCCGGTCATGCTGTGATATTGGCTGGGGTGGGCCGGTCTCCTGGCATGCCTCAGGGCTGGCGCTCAGAACGAATCTGGCCTCTCGGGATCCAGCTTTCCCGGACGACTCTGCCTCATTCCCCTGTGCCTGCCCAGTCCAGACAGCTCGTACTCAATCCGGGGGTTCCCTGGCTCATGTGTAGTTTCCGTTCCCCCGTTGTGAGAGATGGCACCGCCTCTCCCAGGTTGCTGGTAGGAAGATCCTCAGGCCAAGATCTGTCGGTCCTTTGGGTGCTTCCGGCACTGTGGACGCTGCCCCTTTGCCTTTGGTCCCCCCCCCCACGAGAACAGAGTCCCCCAGAGCTCTACCAGCTTAGCCCCCTGGCCGGAAGATCTCCGGCAGCCCTGCATTTGTGCTTCTGTACTTACCTTGGTGCCAGCCAGCCCTTTCCTGGGCACAAGCAGGCAACTTTGGGGCCGGGAGAGGCACGGAAGCAGCCCCTTGAGGCTTCTGTGAAAGAGAGAGAGAGAGAGAGAGCGAGCGAGCGAGCCTTAAATGCCTGCAGAAAGCATTTATTGGTGCCCAGTGCATTTCAGAAAATGCTTTTCTGATCATTGGGACCCCCTTGTCTTTCGGTAGATATGCTGAGGAAAGCCAGCTTCACCAGTGTTCTTTGCACAAAAGCGTTCTGCCACAGCAGCAACTACGAAATACATACTTGCGAAAAAGGTGTACACATGTGCTTTAATCAATGGAAGAAAAAGATCTACAATTTCCCAAGCAGCCACAATGACTGTTCACATTTGAGCAAATGCACACAGAATTGTGCATGGATGTTCATGTAGGAGGACCCAGGTGCATCGCCGTCTCTCCGCTTCACACATCCTCACTCCAAGACGTCTCTCTCTTTTCTCAGTGCTTTCGGGATTTATCTCCAAAGAAGAAACAGAAGGTAGTGTGTCCAGGACCCGGTGTGGTGAGTCTGCGCCCCGCCGGGCAACCCGGCCTGCTGAGCCAAGCGCAGCTCCCCCTTGTGCCACCCGGAGCAAAGGGGGCTGAAGGCCAGCAGGGGGGCCTCCCCTTCCCCTTCACGCCGAACCCGGGGCTCAGGGAGTGGGCTTCTGCTTTGCGCCCAGCCCCGCCTTCTGTCTCCCTTGGTCTCTGCTTCCCCTTCCTCAGCCTGTGCTTGTGCGTGTGCTTGCACACGGAGGAAGCCCCCAACATCACTAGGTAGGTTGCCCCTTTGAATGTGGGGAGTGAGCCACTTGTAGGCCTCCAGCTGTGCCTGGGTGGCAACTCGTGCCAGCCGGAGTGCCTCTGCAGTGCTGAGGCGCAGGGGGACCGGCGGTCCAGCATCGGGAGGGCCACGTCTGCTTCGGACAGCTAGGGGAGCCCTGAGTCCCACCTCAGGTGACGGAGCAGGAAGAGCACGGCTGAATACCTGCAGCGGCAGCAAAGTCAGGCCTCTCAGGGCAGGCCGAGCAGAAGCTTTAGACTCCGGTCGCCCAAAGCCCCTGCTGGCCAGCATGAGCCCTGGCCAGGAACACTGGCAGATGACTGCAGGGAGGAAGCGCCCTCCCCTTCTAAAAGAGCCTCCAAGGTTGGGGAGACAGATCCCGATGCTGAATCTGCGGCTGAAGTGCCAAGCTGATGGACTCGGAAACCGGCCAGGCCAGCGGCGAGAGTCCCGCAGCTTCACGCTCAGCTTAGTGGGCAAACCGAGGCGGCCATCCTGCGATCCTCAGCCTGAGGACTCGGCATCAGAGGGCAGGCCGGGAGAGAAGCCCGGCCCCTGGCTGTGAGGCAGGAGCCCAGCCTCCCAGGGGTGGAGGGCTGCTCGGGCTGGGGCAGCTTCGCTCCTTGGGGCCTCGTCTCGGGCTGCGTCTCCTGTTCCTTCTGTGGCAAAGCTCCCCCTCCGTGCTGGAGAGCCTGTGTCTTGCTCTGCTGGGTCGGAGCTGGAGCAGACCCGGAGAGCTGCATCCGCTTCTGGCCCCACAGCCCTGCCCTGCCCGCTTCTCCCCCTCTCCTTCCTTCCCCCGCACTTCACCGTGTCCTCCGTCCTCCCTTGCAGCCGGAGAGGAGATCGAGATGACGCCCATGGTGTTCGCCAAAGGCTTGGCCGACTCCGGGTTCTGGGGGGACAAGCTCTTTGGGCGGATCATGGTGGCGGACCTGGCGGTGGGCCAGGGCTTCCTGCACAAGGCTTGCCGCGCCCGGGCCATCTACGGCCTGGAGCCCGTCTTCGAGTCCGGCCTCACGGGCATCATCAAGATCCGCAACCTCATCGCCTTTGGGGGGCGCAGCGAGAGCACCCTGGTGGAGAGGAACTACGAGATCACCATCCAGGTGTGTGGCGCAGGGGCCGGGAGAAGAGGGCCGGGGGACGGGGCGGGCGGGAAGCTGCGGGCGTCCGAGCGCAGGAACGCGCATTTTATTCGGACGCGGGGGGAGCACACGCACCCCCAAAGGGCCACCGAGCCTGTGCGTGCCGCGCTCCCGCGCAGCTCCTTGCGCCCCAAGGACGCCTTCTCCTTTGCCCTCCCAGGAGTGCAAGATCCAGAACTCGAGCCGGGAGTACTGCAAGATCTTCGCTGCGGAGGCCCGAGCCATCCCGGCCTTCGGGCCGGTGCCCGAGTAGGTCGCAGGCTTCCCGGGGCCAGGCGCGGGAGGGCCGTGCTGGGGAGGTGCTGGCCGAGCGCCCCGTTCTTCGAGGGCGGAGAGGCGCTTCCCGCTGCGGGACCGGCCCGCCAAGTGCAGAGCGGCTGGGGTGGCGGCGACGCAGGCAGAGCAAACCGCTGAGGTGGAAGGCGCAGCCGCAGGGCCAGCACCGACCCCCGGCGTTCCTGGGCAGCTGCAGCGGTGGTTTAACTTCCCGCACGGCCAGAACAACGATGTGCTCTGGGCATCGCGGGGAATCCTGCCCGGCGTGCGGCTGTTGCCCGCCGCTGCAGAGTCCGTTCTGGAGCAGCAGGGCGGGAGGAAGGGTGCTTTGCCTCGGGCCTGCTGCCCCCCCCCCCGACACACGGAGGGCAGAGCGGGCATGCCTGCCGCCCCTTTCCAGACGGAGGCGTGGGTTGCCATCGTTGGGCCGGGCCGCACCTCTCGGCCCCTGACCCTGACCCCTCAGTCGGCTCGGCCCCACGGCTCGGCCTCGCAAGTTGCCCCTCCCCGAATGAGCTCAGGTGGGGGTTTCTCCCCGCACAGAATCATCCCGCTGTACCTGATCTACCGCCCGGCCAACAACATCCCGTACGCCACCATGGAGGAGGACCTTCCGGGCCAGTTTGAGCGCTACTGCGGGCGGGAGGCCCCGGCCGGCTCCTCCGAGGTCGGGCAGAAATGCTGCGCCTTCCAGCACTGGCTCTACCAGTGGACGAACGGAAACATCCTGGTGACCGACCTGGAAGGTGAGGAGGCTGTGGCTGCTCCCCGGGCCCTGCGTTTGGGGACAGGCCATGGGGGGGGGCGGGGGGAGTGACACCCTCGGCCGGCCTTCCCCAGCTTGGCAGCCTCCAGGTACGCCAGCCAAGCAGCACCCGCTGCTGAGATTGATGGGAGTTGTGGTTGCCACTCTGGGAGAACGCCCCGTCTGTGGGAGGCCGGGGATTGAAATGTGGGGGACCTTGTCGTGCGCCCCCCAGTGGACAGCCCCATGAGCCCCGCATTGAGGGGGGCGTCATTTTCTGCATGCGCTTCAGCTGGGAGGGAGCAGCTTGGCCCGCCTCCTTCCCCGCCCCCCCAGAGGAGGGCCGCCGAGGCTGCAAGGAGTCCCGGATCTACGGACCCCGGCATGGGCACTGAGTTTGCCCGCACGCCCGGCCCTCCGTGCCAGCGGCCAGGCGTGTGCGGGCGGGTGGGCGCAGTCCAGCCGGGCGTGAGGAGAGCCCTGTCCGCCGGGTCCAGGGAGGGCCGGTGGAGCCGCTGAAGACGGCCGGGACTCGGCCTCGGGCGGCGTCCTTGTGCAGCGCTGCGCAGCTCGGGGGGGCACAGCCCCCCTTTTGCACGTGCTCTTGCACGCCGGGGATCGCCGCGAAACAGAGTTCTGCTGGCACTGGAAAGGGGCGGCCTCAAAGACCCAAGAACTGCTCTGACCCCCCGCCCTGCCTCCCACTCAGCCGTTTGGGGGGGCTTGTCCCCCGCCCTGCCTCCCACTGCGCGCTAGCCCCCGGGCACTTCCTCGGAGTGGGAATGGAGCCCGGAGGATCGCCTGCCCTGCTGAGCGCCTTTCGGGTCCGCCTCATCCGGGCTTTTCCCCCCGCAGGTGTCGGGTGGAAGGTCACCAACGTGCGGATCGCCACCAAAACAAAGGGGTACGTGGCTTCCCAGAGGCGAGACGTGGGGGGGGGAGGCGGCTTGTGCTAAGCCCCCGAGGCTGCACAGCGGGGCAACGGAGGCGATTAGGAGCAGGACTGCATGTGCTGGGGGAGCAGTCAGACCCCCCCATCCTGGCACCAATAACCCCCCGCCCCCCCCCCGCTGCTCTGCGGCACAATGGGTGCTGGGAGGCTCCCCAGAGCCGCTTCCTTCCTCGCCCGACCGCAGCTCGTAGCCACGTCTGTGGCCCCAGAGGGCGCGAGGCACAGCCAGGGTTGCCACAGCTGCTCCTCCGCTTCTGCGGCGTGAGGGGCTCACAGCGGGGCCCGGACAGTGCCGTTGAGAGGGGGTCTGTTGGGGGCTGCCTCATCCCAGCCCACAGAGCAAACCACGGCTTGTTAGCCTTGAGCCACCCGCGGTTCCGAAACCTTGGCCTCTCTCCGTGGCTCACACGGCCGTCGGCCGAGGCACTCGAGAGCCCGGGTTGCAGAGCAGCCGCCCCACTCGGTGCCACTCGGCCAACGGGCATCTTGTCGTCTGAGCCCAGCCAGTCCCTCTCCCAGGAATCGGGGGATTGCTGGGGAAGATGTGGGTGCAGAGGGGATGGGGGGCGCCCGGAATGTGATGGCGTGGAGCCCATGGCGGTGCTGCCAGATTCAGTGACGGAACAGCCGTGGGGCTCCACTCCTGCGATGGGTGAGACCGAAGGATCTAGGCGAGTTCAGCTGAGCTGAGCTCCTGCCAGTGGCCTTCGAGGAAGCAAGTCTGCCTTTTGGGCTGGGGAGGGAGGCCCAAGTGCCGGGAGCGCGTCCCGGGCAAAAAGGGAGGGACTGGGGCAGCGGGCAGGGCCCGTTCAGGGGATCCCGAGCGCCCGGGAGGGCTGGGGTCCGGCACCCCTGGCTGCATGCACGCGGGCTGGGTAAGGGAAGGGTGGGGGGCACTGGTGGCTGGGGGGCAGGGAGAGATTGCCCTGGCCAGTAACCTCGTCTCCCCCCTCTCCCCTCTGCCAGGTACCAGGGCCTGAAGGAGAACTGCTGCCCCAGCTCGCTAGAGCAGTTTGTGCTCTCGCACCAGTGCAACCGCTACTGCGAGCTGCTGGCCCTGAAGAACCTCGAGCCCCCTCAGCCGCCCCCCAAAGGCAAGGGCTCCCGCAGCCCCGTCACGGCCCGGAAGGCCCCCTCGGCCCAGTCCAGCCCCCAGCTCCAGAAGAAGGGCCCGGTCAGCCCGCAGGCCGCCCGGAAAGGCTCCGTGAGCCCCAAGAGCGCCCGGAGGGGCCCCGACAGCGCGGCAGAACCGAGGGCCAGAGGCGGGGACAGCGGCAGGGCCGGCCGGCCACAGTGACCGCGCGGGAGCCTTCCCCGGCCTGGGCGCCTCCCGTGCCCCCCTGGCCGTGGGGCTGTGTGTGGGGGTGAGGGCCTGGGCCGGGTCCCGCTCGTGTGCTGCTCCCCGGCAGGCCGTCGGAGCGCCCGGGAGCGCCAGGGGCTGCGCAGAAGCAGCTGCGTGGCCCCGTCCTGGGCCCTGCACAGAGGAGAGCCCAGGCCGTGGAGCGAGGGGCTGGCACCCGCTTCCGTGGCTCGGCCGCTCGGGGTGGGCGGCCGCCGGCCCTCCCCTCGCCCCCCGGGCTGCTCCCATAGATCCCCGCAGGATGAGCCTGGTGGCCCGGCTGGGCGACCGAGGAGCGAGCCATCACCCAGGCGGCTGCCAGCCGCTCGCCCCTGCTGCTCCCCTCTCGGGGCACGGCCACGTCCCAGAGCCCCCCGCCCTCAGCTGCCTGCCCCACCAGCCCGGCTGCTGTCCCAAAGGAGGTGCGGCAGAAGAGGGTGACTCCGGAGCGGCTTTCTCAAGGGGGGTCTGTTGAAAGGGGGCGTGTGGCGCAGACGGCCGCTGGCTGCGCAAGGGCAACGGAAAGGCTGACGAGCTGCGATCCCACGGGAATTCCCGGGGAGCGGCACGCCGTGGCTGTCTTCTCCCATGCCTTGCGGGATCTCGCCCTCCCTCCGCTTTTGCAAGGCTGGAGAGCAGCTGCAGCCTCCCAGCACCCCGTTTCCTCAAGCTGAACGGGATCCGGGAGCGGGCGCTCGGCCCCGGTCTGTGTCTGTGTCTGCTCTTGGGCCACTCCGAGCGGTGGGGTGTGGTGGAGGGGCCCCCCAGAAGGCAGCCCCAGAGCAGCCCTCGCGCTCTTCACCGCGGACTAGAGCCGACAGAGGGCGGGACAGAGCCGGGCCCGGGCCCTGCCCAGGCGGCCCCCAGGAGGGAGAGGCGCTCTGCTTTCCCTCAGTGACGATGGCAACCGGAAACCAGGGGAGGAGCAGCCTGGCATGCCTTGGATGTTCTGGGCTGTCGTTTCCACCAGCCCCAGCAGCACGGTCAACAGCTGGGGCTTATGGGAGTGGTGGTCCAAAAGAGCGTGAGGCACGGGTGTGCCGCGTGCCCCTGGGGCAACGCGACGACAGGGACAGTTAGCACAAATGTAGCCGTTGGATTTCCTGCCCGCCTGGCCTCCCCCTTGCCGCCTGGGCCGGCGGGCATTTCCCAGGTTCTGACAGCAACACTGCGCCAGCCGCTGCACATGATGCTCGCAGACGCCAGGCAGGGAGCCAGTGCGGGCGGAGAGCGGGCTCGGGGGCCGCTTCAGAGGCTGCCCTTGGCGCGCTCGGCTCCCCACAAGCTTCTTTCTGGTGCGGAAGCTTGCGGCTTTCTTTGTCTGGCAAGAGCAATGAGGGATCCAGACCGAATGGGATCTATTTTCCAGAACTGGGGGGGAGGGGGGGGACACGGAATTTTATAGCCCCAAAAGACAGATGACAAATAGAGGGAGCAGGTGAAAGCTGCTTTTTAAATTGCCTACCTGGAAGAGCTGGCATAGTTACATGTTTTGAGTATGGAAGCCTGCACCTCCCCTGGAAAAACAGCGATGAGTGCATCGGCTTATTTATAGCACAAGCCAAGCGTCTTTGCTTGGAAGCAAGTTCCACTGACTTCAGCGTGGCTTATCATTCCCAGAGAAGCGTGGACAGGGTTGCATTCTGAAGCTGTAATCCAATATTCACTTAGCCGCTCATGAGCCTCCGCGAATTCAGTGGGACTTGCCCCCAAGTCGACATGTGGATGAGTGCAATTAGTGCATTTCAGTAATGGAAGGGAAACCACGGTGCCCAGAGGCCGCGGCAGATGAATAAACAAGCCCTCCGCTGGTATATCCAGCAGCGAAACCGAGTTTGGCTGAGCGGTCCGCTGGCACGGGCCTTTAATCGCCCGGCCCGGCAATCTGCCTGCCCGAGCCCCCGTGAACGGGAATTCCCGCCAGCGCGCCCTTCCTGTCCGTCCAGCTTTTATGGCACAAAATGGGTGAGCGAACGGCAGCTGCCGCCGGCCACAGTCCCGGGAGGGAGGAGGTGCCTCTTGCGCGCACCGGAGGCAACCCTGGGCGAGGCGGCTTGCAAATGCGCCGAGAGGTTTGTGCGCAAGCGTCATGCGCTGCTGGAGACCCTTCTGGCATGCCTCGCGAGGGTCTCGCCGTCTCCCCTTTGCTCCTGCATTTGAAGATGGGTTTGCCCCCGTGCGCCGGGCCCGCGCTGCAATTTTTTCTGCGTGTTCATCCATACTCGTGTGCGTTGTCTCGGCACCACAGCTGCTTTGCCGCTTCTCCGTTGTTCATGTGAGGCAGCCTCCTGTCCGTCCCTCGGCGTTAGGGCTTGGCACAGGCGGTGGCGTTATAGTGGCCGCAGCACCGCTGGAGATAGTTGGCCGAAGTGCCGAGGTCCACACTTTGCCAAATGCCGGAAAACGACAGCGACCCGTTGCCGTCGGTCGAGGTGCTGTGAAAGGGAGAGACAAGGATGAGAGCGATGCGGCCGTCTCCTGGCGCGAACTCGGCCTGGGAATCTGCACGGACAGTGTTGAAACGCAGCCTCTCTTGCGGCCACGCACATGCGACAGAGACGTGGCGGCTTTGCCCCCCTGCCGGCCTGTGCGCGCGCTGGCTTCTGTACATGCGCACAGCCACTCGGTGTGGATCACTGTCCCGTGCCCCGTGAAAGCTTTCTGACGGAGCACCGAGCTCCTGCACAGGGCGATCGGACGCCCGTTGCGCCGTTCTGAATAAGGAGCAAGACAGTCGCGCGAGCGATCCCGTGCGACCTGCTGTCAGAGAGATCAGGAATCTACATGGAGCGCTTCCGCACAGGGCCCTTAGGCCTGCGTAGCTGCCACAAAGAGCATGGCCTCTCCTGTGTCTCCACTGCATAAGCTCTGCAGGACGTGGTGGAGTGGCTGAAAAGCACAAATGCAAAAGCGAGAAAGTCGTTTCTTTTCCCTTAGCAATGCAATGCTGCATTTCCCCTGCTCCAGAAAAAAACACAAACCCACCACAGGTGCTCTTTAGGCTGAGAAGGAGAGCGGAAAGTCACAACACTGTCTAAGGCCGCCTGTGAACAATGGTGAGTAGGAAGCAACCGCTGCCTGATTGCCTCGTGTAGAAAAACCCACGACTCTTGGTGTTTTGTACCAGTTGACTTCCTGGTATGAATTCTGATGCCTGTACAGCCCGGTCCTGAGTCTATCTGCTTAGAGGTCTGTCCCACTGAATTTAGAGAGATTTATTCCTAAGTGAGTATGTATAGGACTGCAGCGTTAGTGTCCTCCTCCTAGAATCTGAAATCAACTCGTTTTATTTTATTTTATTTTGTAAAAAAGAAAGTGTGCTGATTCCAACATTAAAAATAGTCATCCCTGCGAGAACATAGTCTATGGCTGTGAGAGCAACCTTCGCGAGAGAGGCGGGTGCAGGTCTGCATTCCTTCAGATGGGTAGAGCTGACGAAGCAAAAGACCTGCTTCCACAAATGAGCTTGTGCAAAGTATTAGCTAGAGTAACGGTGCCTTGACAGTGGATCAGAGGCCGGGTGGTCTGGGTGGGCATTTGTGGCTCCAGAACAGTGCAGGTGCTTGCATGCTGGATGTTCCCAGGGGTGACCCCTGCCATCTGCCCCACACCTGCACAACGTACAGGTGAGATCACGGTGTCAGCACGGCGCCCAAGGGGCCAGTGCGCTGAGGTGGCTTTTGTTTCTCTCTCTGTCCATGTATGCATTCCCATTTCCTCCTCAACTGCTTTTATCAGCTCCAAATTCTACCTGAATAGATTGTTCCATTTTTACAATGAGTTAACTCTGGAAAAAGCTACAACGCACTTGATCCAATGCTTTGCTGAAAAAGTGCATCAGGCGCTTGTCTAGAAGACGGCGAGGGTTGCCTCCTTTTAATCCAGCGCCCAGCAGAGAACAGTGGGGTGTTTCCCCGTGGAAAAAATGAACAGTTCTGAGTTTGTTGAATCATTTCAGTTAGCCACACCACCAAATTGAGGGTTCCCAGTGGAAGTTTTTCGGGGAACAGGAGTGCCCTCTGCTGGCTTGTCTCCTCTCCACTGGAAAGAACTTTGAGAAATTAAAATAGAGGCGGTGGCCGAGGGGTCCAGTCTCTTCCAAGGCTGGGCCGTGAGGTTGGTTAGGCTGAGAGGCAGGGGCTGGCCCAGAGTCACTCGGTGAGCTCCAGAATAGCTGAGTGGGGGCTAGGACCCAGGCCTCTCCAGTCCCAGGTCAGTGCTCCAACCACTACACCACACTGCCTTTCACAGCAACGCTGCGATGTGGGTTAAGCAGAAAGTCTGACTGGCCCAAAGTGGGCTTCATGGCCGAGCGAGACTAAAACCTGCATCTCCCGAGTCTGTGTGTGTGGGGCTTGCTCTGTGTTTAGGGAGCTGTGTGTGTGTGTGTGTACATAATGATCCCTTGAGAGTGGCTCTTAAAAACGAATTGGACCAGAATGACACCTCCAGACAGCAGCCCACTGGCTGGTACCGCTGGCCAAGACTCCAGTAAGAGAAAAACGCCGGCCCCTTTGTCTCCTCCAACGCACAAACGCCCAGCCCCAGGTGTGATGCGCAACACAGGCGCGCCGCTGAGGCAGCCCTGCTCCGCGGCTGCTGCCGGCCCTCGCCTCGCCTCGCCTCGCCTCGCCCGCTGGCCGGAGGCGGCCCCGCAGCGCGCCCTTTGCTGGCGTCGCCCGGCGAGCGCGCACCCACCTGCCGAACAGGTCGCTGCAGCAGACGTAGACGGGGAAGCTGGTGGAGGTGAGGTTGGCCGAGCCGAAGAGCTGCAGGCAGTCGATCGCGTCTCTGGGCACGTAGAGGATGCCTGGGGGCGATGCGGGGGCGATGAGGGGGGCCACAGCCTCTTTTGCAAGCGGGGGGGCAGAGCGCGGCTGTGCCGGGGTGGCTCGTCCCCTCCAGACCTTCGTGCTTCTCGGGACTGTGCTCTAACTCCTGGCGGAGTTAAACCGATCCGACAGCGAGCGCCGTGTCGGCATTTTGAGCCCTCCCCCTCCTCTTTTCGGTGTGATTGACCTGCTCACACAGGACGGCCGGCCAGCGGGTGGCTTTGGGGGGCGGCCACTCAACTGAGCTGGCAAATTGCTGCTTTTTAAGCACGGACACCCCACCGTTCAAAACCCAACAACGAATTGTGAGTTTTGTTCGTGGTTGAAAACCCACAGTTTCTTAGCATGGCTGGGTTCATGCAACACGACAGCCTACAAATCGACAACAACAGTGCAAGGACAACCCGTCCTCCGCCGATCGCCTGGCTTGTGGCGTCGTGTGAGCCTGGCCTGGCTTTTCTGCCCCGCTTGGGTCAGGAAGGACCACATCCTGCCCTCGCAAAGCCACACCTGCCCAGTGGCACTTGCACACCCATTGCAGCTACACCCGTTTTCATTTACACAACCACGTGTATAAATCTGTGTTCCTGATAAAAAGCCACACTCGAAGACACAACGCCCAGGCGAGAAAACAAGATTTTGTGGCTGTGCAGCAAGTGGGAAACACTTAAAACTGTAATGTGCTGAAATCTCACAAACAGGAATGCCGGTGCGGCCACTGCACAACTGGGTTGTTAGCCACAGCCCTCGCTTGCCGCTCGCCTGCGGCTTTCATTTGGTGCAACACTCCAGAGTACCAATACTCCAGAGTACCAACACCAGAGTAGCAATACTCCTACCCCTCAAAACCGCTCCCCAGCTGGGCGTCCTCCACTGGAGCTGCATTTGGGCTCCTGGCCAGCATCTCCCTCCAGTTTGTTCTTCCGAAACCTCGCTGGGCATCGCTCCCCCTCTGTTGTTCCCCCCCCCGCTGCACCCCATCTCGAGCCCGACAAGCGCTCGGGCCCCTGCGCTTTCCTCCCGACCCGCATGCCATACCTGCAACACACGCGTTGATCAGCGAGACGCAGGCCCCGGTGAACAACGCCCGCAGGACAATGCTGGAGAATTCACTCTTGCGCTGCGGAGCCATGGATGCTGGGCGGGGAAGGAAGACGGGCGCCTGAGCGAGCTGCGTGACCTGGGCAGGTATGCGCACCAGGCTGGTCCTTTCCCAGCTACGCCGGCTACCGATTGAAGTCCGGGCCCAATCTGAGGGGCCGGCGATGCCCTACAAAGCCCTAGACGGCTTATGACCTAGATGTCTGAGGGAGCATCTCCTTCCCTGGGGGCCTGCCCACCCGTAAGATCTGGGTAGGAGGTCCTTCTTCGGGAGCCCTCCTTGAAGGAGATCAGGAGGGTGGCTGCCCGGAGAAGGGCCTTCTCTGTGGTGGCGCCCCAGCCATGGAATGCAGAGGGGTTTGCCTGGCGCCCACATTTGAGTCTCTTCGGCACCAAACCCAACCCTTTTTATTTTCCAACTATTTTATTTTATTTATTATTTATTTTATTTTATTTAGTAAACTTCTATGCCGCCTCATTCGCCGAAGCCTTGGGGCGGCTTACAACAATAAATAAATATATATAATCATATAAAAACAATATAATTGGAAACTCCCTGGCCAAAGATATAAAATCAAGAAATACGCTAACAATTAAAATGCCATTTAAATAAAAAGGCCTTGGCCTGGCGCCGAAAAACATATAACGACGGCGCCAGGCAATTTTATAGATGATGTGATGCTGTGCTTTGCTTCACTCTATTGCAAGATCATCCTGAGATGCTTTGTAACAGGACGGGATAAAAAAGCTTTGAATGAATGAATAAAAACAGCTGCCCTGGTGCCTTCAGGTGCGATGCAGGATGCGGCGGTTACTAGTTGTGAGGGTCTGAGGCAGCACCAGGGCGCCACCTGCTGGCCAGAGGCAGGACAGCAGCCCAGTGGCTGCAGGACCAGGCCCCGGTCAAGCGCAGCCACCTGGGAGGGGACGAGCCCCACCTGGGCGCCCCAGGGAGGGCTCACCGCTGCCTCCCTGCTGCAGACGTGGCCTCAGCAGCAGAGGGGCTGGGGCTGGGTCGCCGGGGTCCTGGGCGGTGCCGGAGCGCCCCGTGCCCCCTGGAGACCGCCTGCCGCCTTGCCCCTGCCTCTGGGCCTGCCGGGCTTCGCCTGCTCCAGCGCCAGGTAGCTGCTTCTCCTCGGCTCGACTCTCTGCCTTTTGGCTCCTGCCTGGCTTTGCCTGCTCCGCTCAGACTGGCCTCCCTTGCGCTCCTGTTGCTCGCCTGCCTTCGTCCCTGGACTGCCTGAGCGCGCCTTGGACTGGGCCCGCCTGTCGTGCCGGTTGCCTGGGCCCTGGTGCCCGACCTGGCAGCCAGCCGCCCACGCCCCGGATGCTGGCACTGGCGTGGGCGACGATGCCACCCAGGTGCTGTGCATGGAATGAGCGGGGGGGGGCATCTGGCCCTTCCCCTCCAGGGGCAAAACGCCTTGGACCAGCCCTGCTTCCAGTGACGCGCTGCCAAGGCACGCCTCCGACGCCCCGCGGTGCCCTGGCCAGGGGCAGGTGGGGCCGGGGGAGGCAGCGAAGGCCGCCCGGGGGGTGCCGGGCAGGCCTGGGCGAGGCAGGCGGGGCATCTGTGCCGAGTCCCTCCCGAGCCGCAGCACCGGCGCTTCCCGCCGACTCACACAGGCCTCCCAGCATGATCCCGATGGAGCTCAGGTTGGCGAACCCACACAGGGCGTAGGTCGTGATGATTTCGGATCGCACCTGCGGAACCGTGGAGGGAAGACAGTCAGTGCCGTGGCAACCAGGCCAAGCGCCCGCTCGGCCCGCTCTGGCCTTGGCTGGCACCGGCCACCTTTCCTCGCCCACCGGCTGGGACTCTGCACATGCCGTCTGGGGGAAGGCGAGTTTTAGGGCTCTTTTCTGTGATCTTGGCTGGCTTCATTCGGAGAGTTCAGCTCCTTCCTAAGGCGGGGCGGGAACTCAGTTCTCCAGACAGCTTTGGACTGCAAAGCTCAACTGCACAGCCAGTGGCTGGGGATGGTAGGAGCTGTATTCCAACAACATCTGGAGAGGCACTCGTTCCCTGTCTCTTGCACCCTAATAGCTTGCCCCAGGTAGTAATTACAACAGGTTGTGGGTCTCTCCCATTCTTCGCTAGCAGTGCTTCCATGCTGCAGGGGCACCTTGCTGTTGTGTAACGGAATGTGTAGAAAGGCAGAGAAAGTTCTGCCAAGCAAAGCCTGGGGGCTAAATGTGAATCCCACCAAGAACCCGGAAGTGGGAAACCTGGGGAAGCGGCAGCTTTGAAGCCGCGTGCCCGGGTGGCCTGAGCACCGCCTGCAAGCGCACGCGTGCGTCGGCGGGCCTCCTGCTCCTCCTGGCTGGCGAACTTGCCGAGATCCACTGCTTCTGCGTCCCATTCCACTCGGGCAGCCCGTCCAGCCGCTTCTGCTTGTAGGTGGAGAGCTGCTGGTAGGCCACAAACTCGTTGAGGAAAATCTTGATTCCCAGCAGCTCGGCAACCAGGGGTGCGTCCTCCCAGCTGGCCCCGAGCAGGAACGCCAGCGGCACCAGGACATAGGAGCAGATCAGCTGGAGGCCAGGAGGAAAAAGGCCCGTAAACAAGTTTGTAATATAACAGGAAGCGAGCACAGACAGAATCGGGGAAGGCCAGAATTAAAGGGCGGCATTTGTGCGATGGGCACCCAGGAAAAGCCTCTTGCTCTAAGGCCTGGCTCTCGCTGGGAGCGTCTTGCTCTCTTGCACGTGCCGACGACTCCTTCGGCAGGGCCGGCCGGCCGGCCAGATGACCCAGCGATGCAGTTTGCCCGCCCTTAGCACGGCTGAACTCCCCGGCTGCATTCACACAACCAGGGTGGGGGTGGCGTCTTTGCGGGGGCTTACCTGGAAGGAGAGCTCCGGCAGGTCGACCATGCCCCCCAGCCAGGAGAGCGCGGCGTCGATGAACTCGAGCACAGCCAGGAAGGCGATGAGGTTGGCTGCGATGTTCGCCACCAGCCCCACCGAAGCCGCCGCTCCGTTGCCCGCGGCTTCCAGAACGTTCTTCTCCTCCCTGGGCCAACACACCAGGCAACACAGACACGAAGAGGCGCAGGGAAGCGCTGGTGAGGCGGAGGGGCGGCAGCTGCGCAAGCTCCACCTTGGCCCGCGCCTTCTAGACTCGGGCATCTCACGTTCCCCGGACCTTTACCATACGCGCCTCCTGCCTCGTTCAGTTTGTCAGCCACTGAGTCCTCATAAATCTCACCATTACGTAAAAAAACCCTAAGAGCATGCCTTAGGACATACTGGGGTATTCCCTACACACACAGATATATAGATATTTGAGAGGTAGTATGGCGTAGTGGTTAGAGTGTTGGACTGGGGCCGCGGATATCTGTGTTCTAGACCCCACTCAGCAATGAACTGGTTTGTGTGGTACCCACCCCAACACGTCTCGAGAAAACCCCTCTTCGTCTGGGGCTCTGAAAAGAGGTGGGAATTGCTGCCAAGAAAGGATCAACGGGCTGAGGGAGGACCGAGTGGCCCCCCCTTGGAGCCACCCCCTAACGGAGCCGCTCCCCCAGGGGCCACTGTGGTCGGTCAATCCGCTTCCGGCACTCCTGGAGTCACGCGGCTTCCGACCTGTTTTGTTCCCCTGGATCCAAACTCGGCCGCCACGTCCAGCATAGTGGCGTGAGCAGCAGTTGTCATGCCCCCGGCTGATTAATAGGCTAAAAATAGCCGCATTCCCGCCCGCCGCTCCCCACGCGAGGCGGACCTTGCCCCGTGCGAAACCTTTTGCTCCAGGCTCCTGGTAAACAAGGCTCTGCAGCTCGATCTCCGACCCTCGTGGTCAAAAGCCGCGCTGGCGCCGGAGTCGGCGCTGGGGCAGGAGACAGGCCAGCGCTGCAGCCACCCAGCTTGCCCAGACAAGAGACGGGAGGGAGTGGCAGAGATGGGGCTGAGGGGGCAGGCCAGCATTTGCTGCCCGAGATGTGGGGCAGCCCTCCTCTGCTCTGAGCCCTCAGCACTGGCACGCAAGTAGCCTGCCCCCAAGCATGGAAGTTCCACTGCAGAGGGCGGCTCACACTGTAAACAGGGCTGTGCTACTCGGCTGTGCTAAAACCCCCGTCCTACAGCAACCCTATAAGGCAGCTTAGGATGGGGACTCGCCCACTCACACATTTATCTCGCCATCCTCCCTCTTGCAGGGCCGCTTCCACGATCCTTTTCCTTCTCCCCATTTGATCCTCCCAACAGCCCTGTGAGGTGGGTCCATCTGGGCATCAGGGACTGGCTCCAAGTCAGCCAGTGAGCTTCATGGCTGAGTGGGGACAGGACCCCACATCCCTGAGTCCCAGTCCAATGCTCTAACCACTAGGCCACACCGACCCCCACACCGCATGGAGACGGAAGCATCAGTCTTCCCTGCCTCCATCCGGCACGCTGCCCATTTACTTCTTTCCCTGAGCTTATTCTCGTCCTTTGCTCTCCGTTGCTGGGAAGCCAGAAGCAGTCCTGGCCCCGTGCTCCTCCAGAGCTCCTCCCTGCATCCCACTCGGGTCTCTTGCTAGACTCCTGGGTAAGCCTTCCATCCCAGGACGCTTCTGGGGGAGCCCTTGTGAACCCCGTTCTCACCCAGAGGCGATTCGCACCCCGTCGCGGCTCCGGAACTTGGACTCCTCCACCTCTGGGTAGACGAGCTTCGCCATCGCCAGGGCGCATGGTGCTGCCATCACCGACGCAGCAATCAAGGACGACGCATCGATCTGCAACGGGGCAGCAGATCAGAGGAGAGTGGGGGGGTGCCCCTCATCTGCACTCCAGCAGAATGATGGGACGGGGGGCATGCTTGGTGGCTCCAGAGAAGGAGCAACGTGGAGCCCCGACGATTCCAGGTCTCTCTGCTACCTGAAGTCAGACGGCAGGGCCTTCTCGGAGTTGGCACCCTGGTTGTGAAAGGTTTGCCCCAGGAAGGCCCGCCTGCTGCCGAGGAGCCAGGCTAAACGCCTGCCCGTGCGAGCCCTGCCTCGCTCTGGGCCAGGCCTGCGGGGAGCAGAGTCCATTGGGCATTTCTCCTCGTTGGCCCACCCGCCTCTTCACCCACCCTTTGGCGCGGCTTCGCTCGATCAGGCTTTGCAGCATCACGTGCCTCTCCAGCAACAACGGAAGCCTTTCTGAGCTGAAGGAACCGGCCAGACGCCTCCTGACGTGCATCCGCATCGCAGGCGGGCAGGGATCACAAAGGGGCGGCGCGAAACGGACCGGGCCGAGTATTCGCCGGCACCCTGGATCAGCCAAGGTTTATCCGGGCAACTGCGTGGACCCAATGCCTGAGGGGTGCCCCGGTGCAGGACCCATTGCCGATACGGCCCCCGGGCAGGAGGGAGGGGCGCTGCTTTATCGGAAGAACCTGCTGCAGATATGCTGCAGGCTCCCATAATTCCGGGTGTTCCTCTCTGGGGGAGTCTCTTCCCGCCCCCCCAGCCCCAGTGCTTGCCTCTGACCAGCTGCCTCCTCCCTGCGGCAAACTCACCCCAAACGAAATGTACACCCCCATGACGCTGCCAGCGATGGTGGCGAAGCCGCCCGTCATCACCGCGTGTATCTCCGACCGGGTCATGTCCAGCAGGTAGGGCCGGATGAGCAGCGGCGCTTCAGTCTGGAGGGCGGAGGGGAGAGTCAAGGTGCAGCGCTTTGCGGGCAGGTCGGCCCCCCAGAAGCACCACTCGTCCCGCCCAGGGCTCGGGGCAGCCTTCCCGGCGCTGTGGGCTTCTGCCAGCGGTCGGAGTGCCAGGAGCACCCGAAAGGTGCCCTGTCGGGGAGACTGGCACGGGACGGTCCCTCTCCCCGGACGGAGGTGACGTGGGCACGGAGCGCCACAGCGGCTTGGGATGGCCAGAGACGCGTGGCGGACACGGCGGCGACACAAGAGGCCTCCTTACCATCCCCACGAAGATGTTCCCCACCATGCTCAGGGATTCCGTGGCGGCCGTGCCCATGGTGATCTGCAGGAGCCAGGAGAGCTGCGGGGGGAAGCCGAGGCGCTCAGCGCCAGCTCTGTGCCCCCTCGCCCGCGAGCCCTCCTGCCACCGGCGCTCCCGCGCTCACCTTGCGCCGAGACCTCAGGCCCCAGTTTGCCGCGAGCCCGGCCGGGGCGAGAGGAGGTCCCGCGGGCCGGCGGGCCAGGCCCCGGGGCCGTGGGTCGTGCCCCCAGTGCAGACCACCCTGAGCAAGAGGACCGTCCTTCTCAGCAGGCGGCTTAGCAGCCCTGCCTGGAGCGCCCCACCTGCTCCGGCACCCGCCTCCCGGCGCGGCCCTCCTGCCCACGGGCCCAGTCAGCACCGCGCCTCTTGCAGCCACGCCACGGCCTCCCCCCCCCCCCCCCCCCCCCCCCCCCCCCCCCCCCCCCCCCCCCCCCCCCCCCCCCCCCCCCCCCGCTGCTTCGCCCCCCTGCGAGTGACACGCTGCCGCAGCTCTGCTGCCTCTCTGCCCGCGAGCACCGCCTCCCTTTCCCGGGGGCGCAGACGAGCCGCCCCCCCTTGGGTGCCCGGCCGGCCCTCCCAGCACAGCCCAGATGCATCGCTGTGGACAGCTGCTGGAGCCCGTCGGCCACCGGAGGCCTTCCACGCACGCAGTCACCCTGCAGCCGCTCCGCCACGGCTCCCAGGGTCCCGCCCGGCGCCTCCTGCGTGGCCTCACCTTCAGAATGAAGAACTGCATGACTCCCAGGTAGTAGAGGATGGACATCACGCAGCTGAAGAAGACGATGCTGGGAAGCGCCTGGAGAGAGGGCAGAGCGGCACGTCTCAGCCTTTCGCGAGCGCCACCCGAGGCGTGACTTGGGATTGCGGAGCAAGTGCTAGGATGCGGGTGTTTTGAAAGATACTGGGCCTCCTGGGACGGCCCATGGCCTGGCTGGGGCATGATGGGGTGCATAACATCTTTTCCGTCTAAACTCGCATAGGATTGCACCTGGAGACGATGGCCAGGTACCCCCGGGGCTCGCCCAGATGCTGGGGAGGCCATGCCAAGCACATCGGGCATCCTTCCTTCCACCGTCCCAGAGTCAGATTTGGTCCTGCGTCAACAAAGGCCGAGCCTGAGTCGCGCTGCTGTGTGTGAAGCCCGGAGGCTTCCCCGAGATAAGAATCACTTTCAGCCTCGGCAAGGAGAGGCACTTGAAGTTCAAGCCTACCTGGGCTATTCAAACAAGAACAGCTGCATGCCAGCGCTTGGCCTTGATCCTTCATCTGCATAACAGCAGTTTGGCTGACTAAGTTAAAAAAATCATAGCAAAACTTTCCCTCAGTGGATTTCAATTCGAGGCGCCGGAGGTTTTAGCTAAGAATTTTAGCTTTAAAAAGAGACCAAGGTCCAACAGAACTATTCCTATAGAGATTCTGGGGTATTTTGGAGGAAAGACCGTCATTGCAGACAAAATGCTTTGTGACAATCCTGCCCCCTGCCCCCAAATTGGAAAAAAAAAAAAAAACCAGCCTGCAAGTTGGAAAGTGCTGCAGAATCTACCGATTGGCATAGATTCCTCGATTCCCAGACCTCTGCCAGCATTTAATGTTATTTAACGGTATATGAGAAGGCATTTATACCTTTTAACATATCTCATATTTTTATTGCAGTAGCCTTAAATTTTGCGTAGTGACATTTTAAATTGTTTTAAATGGTTTAAATTGTTCTCAGCTATGCATATCGAGATTTCATGTTGTGTTTTATCACCCGTGATTGTCTTTTCCAAATGTATGAATTCTGAACTGCCAAGAGGGTTTCAGCTATCGCAGGGTATGAATACATAAACAATACAGATCCAAACTCATTTGAATCCCTTGCGGATTTCTCTGACCCTTGACCTGTTTTGAGCTGATCCACTCCTCGGCCTGTTCTGGCCCACTGTGGCTTCGATCAGGTGCCAGTCACTTGCCCGGCAGGTCGAGCCAGTGCCCTTTTGGGGCGAGTCCGGGCCAGGTGCCTTTGGTGGCTGCCATGCGCTGCTTTTCTGTTCCCGGGCCCCGAAAGCTCATCAGAAAGTAGAAAGGACAGGCAGACACAGGGGCCAGATGCCATTCCACTGTGCCCAGTCACAGCATCCAGCCCTAAATGTTTTTTAACATAAAAAGGGGTACAGTAGATATCCCAGGTGTGAGAGAACTACCCATCTCAGCAGATTTAACAGTGCTGGTCTTCATGGTATGTTATTTAAGCTGCTTTTAAATTTATGTTTTAAAGTGTTTGTATTTGGATAAGAGATTATGGCATTTTATTGGATTGCTTCTCCAAACTGTTGCCCAGAGTGCGTCAGTGTAGGCCTGAAATAAACAGACGAGTAGATCAATAAAAGCGAGGATGGCAGCATGCGGAGACCTGTGGAGTCCCCAGCTGGGCCTTTGTCCCGCCAGACCAGCTGCCCCAGCTGGACTCCTTGCCTCACCTGCTGCTCAGGTAAGTCTTATTCTACCCCAATCGTGTCACGGAAAGTCAGTTTTTCATTGCACAGTGATCTGGAGAAAGGTGGGGCAAAGGAAGCGACTTTTGCCGAACCTGCTCTTAGAGCTAACCTGAAAGGCGAACACTTCTTGGATCAATTTGTCCCCGAAGACGAAGCTGGAACCGGCGGTGGTGTAATTCAGGAATGTCTGAAAGGGAACAATGAGTGGAAAGAGCGAGTTTGGATGGGACCTTCCGTGACCACATCAAACAGGAGCCTGAGCGTCTCAGCAGAAATGTACACACAATTAAACCTGGGACATTCCTCATGGCTGACAGTCCGAGCGGTCTTGCTCCAGCTGTACCAGTCCAGTCCTTTGGAGCCAGCAATTCCAGCAGCCAGTCCTCCCATGACGGATGGCCTTTCCCCCTGCCGCTCGGAGACCTTTCCCTGGGACAACTCTCTCCTCGGAAAGACCCGCTGCTGCCTCAGAGCCCACCAGGCTGCCGGCAAGTGGGTCTCCAGAGGTCCAGCCTGGGCCGTTCCCAGCCCTGCCTGGAGATAAACGTGGGACAACGCAGGTGCTCAGCCCTTACCTGAATCTGTGCACCGAGCCACTGGAAGGCCTGGAATCCCGGTTCCGTCCGGATGATGAGCACGCCGAGGACAAACTGCAAGCCAAGCCCCCAGAAGACGGCTCTCCAGGACACCTGCGGAGCCCCCAGAAGCACCAGGGGCGCTGCGTGAGTTGGGTTCACGGGGCCCTTTGCTCGGGGTCGGGGAGCCGGGCGTTCCGGCAATGGCACAGTCCCCTTGACAGCGTCTCCCCGCCCAGCCCCCGTCCAGAGGCCGGCCAGACTGGCAGCTGCATGCGTCCTCAGACCCGCTGCCCCTGCTTGCAGGGGGACGTGGGGAGGGTGGCCCTGGGCCCCTCGGACTCCTCGGCGGCTTGGCGTGCCTCGACCCCAGAACGGGCTGCCTGGTCGGGCACTGGAGGCACGGCAAGCAGTGCTGCTGCTCCTACTTAACGGCCCCTTCCAGAAGGCGGCACTGCAGGATGATGGACTCTGCTGTAGTAGCTCTCCTGCGGAAGAGCTGCTGGCTTTCCTTTGGCTTTTCCTTCTCCTTTACAGTGTAGCTGCAAACTAACAGCGCATGATGCTAAGGGTGGCCTGTACGCAAATTTAAATCTTCACCGTCATCATCCTCATGCTATGCTGCGGTTTTGGTGACCGGCTTCAGCTGTTGGGCAGCATATGCCTCAGTCCGTCCGACCAGGGCCTGCATGTTTACTTGGAAAGGCGTCCCCCGGGGCCCATGGGGTCTGCCCCCAGGACAGCTCGCAGCCTTCACAGCCGGGGCTGGGCAGGGGCGGCTGCAGACGGGCTGCGCTTACCGCCGCGTGGTGCTTGGAGCAGAGGAAGAGCATCACAACCAGCACTGCGAAGCCGCCCAGCGACACCAGCTGCTCCCGCCTCTGCGACACGTCCAGGACCAGCCACGCCACCAGAGCGACCAGAGCGGCTGCACAGAGGACCCTGCGGAGGGACGGGCCAGCCTGACTCCGCCGCCGCTCGCCCGGGTGCCCGTGGGCTCCCTCGGGGCTCTGCTGTGTCGGGACTCGCCGGGATGTGGGCGACGGGGCAGCAAGCGCTCCTGACCGTCGGCCATGCTGGCTGGGACTGATGGGAACTGTCATCCAACATCTGGGGGATGCCAGCTCTGGGAAGGCCACTTTAAGAGAGCGCCAGAAGGCCGGAGACCCCCAGGAATACCGAACTGCGTCACTCGCCTGGGAGGAATGCCCAGAGGTGCGTCACTGACAATGTTCCCATTCAAGCGAGAGGAGGAGGAGCAGCCGTGCCTTGGCTCACGCGCCGCTCGATTCCTGTTCGAGGGGGAAAGGTGCCCTGCGCGGGTGGCTCTCTGGCGGCACTGAACATGTGCCAAAGCGTCTCTAGGCTGAACGTTTGCCTCTGTCCTGCAGGCAAGCGCCTGGCCGGAGGAGCTGAACCCTCAGAGCTGCAGCTCGAGTCTAGTGCACGGACAGGCAATGGAGGATCCCCCAAATGTTCTGGACTACAGCTTCCATCTGCCACAGCTGGGAATACATGGTGGCCTGGGAAAGGAGCTGTGGTCGTTCAGGGAACCCTGGAGACCGATCGGCAGGGCTGAGTCTGCCCCAAGGCCCCGGCTTCACTCGACCGCCCCTGCTCTTGCCTCGGCTGACAATCCCGAACCAGAAACCACGGTCTGAAGCGGGCTTGCAAACCCTGATTAGTGCTAACCGTGGCTTAGCATGGTCTCTTGACTGGTAAACCAACAACCTTCCCTCTATCTCCAAAGGTCACTGAAGCCAGAGGAGAAGGTGCTGAGCAGATGGGAAATAAATGTAGAAAAGTCACTCCAGAGTTCAGCTCATTTGTGTGTCGGGAAGTTCAAACCGTACTTTGTGTTCCAAACGATGGTGAGCACACAAGGCTGGTTGTGAGGCTGGAACTGAGCCAGAGTAGGGAGGAGAGCCAGCCTCCGCTGACAAACTGGGGTGAGATTCAGAAGCCGCTCACCAGCCTGGTCACGGACCCAGAGAAACTCAGGCTGTCTGAGAGGAGCGTTGCCCGCAGGGAGCCAGCCGCCCACAGCGTGGAGACGGCTCATCCTGGCTGCGTGCAAAGGCCCTCGAATCCCCGTGCCGCATCCTGTTGAGACTCACCATTTCAGCCACGGCCAGGCTTTCTGGAAGCACTTCCCGCAGGGGCGCAACATCCGGACGATCTTGGCACCCCACCATCGCTTTACCAGGCTGTAGGCCATGAAGCAGACGGCCAAGCCGGTTAAAACGACCAGCGCCAACGCTCGGTCGAAGTTCAGCCAACAGGCCGCGACGAAGTAGGCCACATAGCCTGGGAGGGGAGAGGGGAGCAAAGGAGGCGTCAGCCACACGGCGGATCTGGCCCACTGTCAGCAGCCGCTGCGATCCAGGCTCAGGCCCACGGTTAGGAATGGGGCACCGGCCTGGGGCACTTCCCATCACAAAAGCCTCTTTGCGTCGGCGTCTCACCTGCGCACAAGATGCCCAGGAAGATCCTCCGGAGCAGCTTGGCATGAGCGCTGCAAAAGCCCTTCGCCTTCGAAAAAGGCCGGGTCACTTTCTCGATCCTGAGCAGAAAAGGAGGCAGGAAAATGAAGATTTAAAATGCGCTCGCGGCGGTGCGGGGGCCCAGATGTGCGAGCAGGCGGGAGGGAGGGAGGTCCCCTCCGGCTGCGCAAGGCTGGCCCCTCCCCGTGCTTTCAGCGCATCTGTTGCGACTCTCCTGATGGTTCGGCCGAAGAGTGTTTTTGCCAGCGAACCCCATGCCGACGACGGCCACGATTCTCTCTCCATTGGCCATGTCTGGCCAGAGACCAAAATGCTTCCAGAGCCACAGATCCCTCCCCGCCTGGCTTTACAATCTGCTGAGAAGGCTGGCCTGGTTCTCCGTCAGGCCAGCCGTGGGGACGGAGGGTTCGACTAGCCCCGTCCCTTCCAGCTCTGCCACGGGTGGGGAAGGCGGGGAGCACGGACAGGTGTCCCCCAGCCACACGTTCCGTGATCATAATTTCCAGTACCTCCTGAATCGAGCTTTGGGTGCATTGCCTTCCTCCTTGGGCTTCGGAGGCTGCTGGTGCGCTGCGGTCTCGGGATTTCCTTCGGGTTCCTATCAGAGGCACAGTCATGGTGTTGCCTTCGGGGGGGGGGGGGGCAGGGAGCACATGCGAGAGAAGCGGGGAGCCTTACTGTGAGCTCGAGGGCAGGGTTGTCCACGCCTCCGGCACCGTCTCCCAGGGAAATCTTGTGGTCGCCCATCCCTCCGGTGCTCTGGAGCCGGTCCACAAACTCTGGAGGGGACTGGCGAGCAGAGATGCAGTCAGCGTGGGAAACCGTGAGGGACCCCGGCCCGGGAATCTAAAGGAGCACCCCGACAGCTTTCCTCTCTCTCGCTCCGCCTTGCCAGTTCTGCGTTGAGGGCAGGCATATCGGGCCACAAAGTGAGAGCTGGACAGAGACTCTGCGAGTGAATGTATTCACACGAGGCAGTGTGTCTCAGTGGTTAGTGCTGGACTGGGTCTTGTGAGATCGGGGTCCTAGTTCCCGCTCGCCATGAAGGTCACCGGGGGTCTTCAGTCAGTCACAGACTTCTAGCCTAACCTTCCTCACAGGATTGTTGTGAGGATAAATGGAGTGGAATGCCCCCTTGGGTTCCTTTCAGGGGAATACGGGCGGGACCTAAATATAATGCAGCACAAACAATAATAGTGCAGGTAAATTCATTAATTACTAATGAATTGTCTTTTGGCCGAACGCATGACCTCCAACTTCGAAAGGTTTAAAACAGTGTGAAAACTCCAGAACTACAAGCAAGAGAGTATCTTACAAATGGAGCAGTAGATTTAAACGACTAAAAAGCAGTTGGGAACAAACATGTTTTAACAGCCCACCTAAAGCCAGCCTGAGTTCCCTTGGGAGGGCGTTCAACAGGTGGGGTGCAAGCACGGAAAAGGCCCCGCTCTGTATGGCCACACTACCGTGCTGGCTGGACTAAACAGGCATCGCCAGCTGCCGGAGCCGTTGCGTGCTGCCCCTGCACGGAAGGAGAGCCCCCATCGCGGCCGTCAGCCTCAGGATGCCCAGTCCTGGCACAGAAATGCACGGAGGGGCTTTGCTCTCTGCTCTCCTCTGCTGGCCCAGCGTATCAGCCCCTTTCCCCAGCCCCTTGCCTCTTCCTTGGCGGCCGCACAGTCAGGCCTCGTTCTCCTCCCAAAGGCTCTCCCACGATCCAGCCCCACAACTCACAGCAGCTCCGTCCGGCTCCCCGAGAGATGCAGGTGTTTCCTCCCCGTCTCTAATCTGAGCTCAGGCCAGGCAACAGATCAGTTATCAATTAACAGCACGGTCCAAAGAACTGGAGGCCGAACCCCTAATCCAGCCAAGTCCCAGCTCCTCCCCACACGCACACCTGGGCACACACTCCACCTGTCCAGGTCCCGGCAGGTTAATCTTTGCACCCAGCCTTTGTTCCACAGCCAGGCCTGACGCAAGATCAAAATGGATCCAGTGAGCCTGTCCGGGAAAGAGAGTTGGGTCTTGGGGGCAGGTGGGCAGCATCCCTGACGGGGGCAGCTGTGCGGGGCCCAGCCACAGGGATGCCACGGAGAGGCATGCTTCCTTTTGAAGAGACTCTGCCCATGTTGGCGTTCAAGCCACACAAGGAAGCACCGAGAAAGCACGGAACAGGGACCGGCAGAAGTTCTGAAGCACAAGACAATGAGGCTGGCCGATTTGATCGACATGTTTAGCTTGCCCTTCCATTAAGACAATTACGGGATGGTTTGCAGGGCTCTGAAACCACAGGAAAATGGGGTTAAACAGCATGAAGCTCAGGATGAGGAGCTGGGGAGAGGTTAGGGGGCGAACAAAGGGCCAGGTGAAGCCGCAAGCAGGAGGAGACGAGGAATTTGGAGGAGGGGAGGAGAGAGGATTCAGGAATCAATACCTTCTGCAAGAATGTGAAAGGGCAGCTGGCTTTCCTAGGCAAAAGACATGCCCGGTCGCACCGCGCAAGCACGGGTGTGAGCTCGATGCTGGCTCTGCCGCGCAGAAAGGTGTGGAGAGCGGGCAGGCGTGTTGTGCGGAGCGCGAGGGCAGGTCGCGCAGCGGGAGTGGGACTTCCTGCGCCCGGGCCCCGTGACGCGCGCCCCGCCTCCGTCCACCTGGGGGGGTCTCTGTGAGATGGGCCCTCCGGAGCGCGGGCAGTGATGGACTGATGCCAGCCATTGCTCTGTGATTCTTGTGCCAGAGGAAGAAAACGATCCGCTGTGTGCTGTGAAAGGTGGAAAACAGGTAACACCAGGAAATGCTGTTTCGTTCGTTCATTCATTTTATTTATTTATTGAGTTTATAACCCGACAGCCACACGGTGCATGGCACTGATTCTGACAGAAGCTGATGGAGAGAGAGCGTGGGAAGGCTTGCGTGTGAAACTCTTCCAGAGGTGCTAAATCTGCGTGAGATCGTAACATTCCTGTGAGAAGCTACCTGCGAGCAACGGCCCAACAGGAACGAGTGTCCTCCCCACAGCTCCCACGCAGCAACCTTGTCCGCAGAAGAGCTATGAAGGCAGCGGCTGTGCCCTGGGGGGCCGGGGGGACCCTCCGCCTGCAGAGGCCATCCGGCCGCCGGCATCCCTTGAGCAGCCGGTCTCATCACTAAGTGTGCTGCCCTGGACTCAGAAGCAAGAGATGGCCTGGGTGGCGGGACCAGCGGCGGCCAGGGAATGTAAGAGCCGAGCCTTTCTTCTCTCGCCGCCCGCCCTGTGTTTGCTTCACTTCACTCTCCTTCACCACACCTGAATGTGTGTCTTTAAAAAAAAAAGCAAATTCTGCCATTCAAAGAAGTTGTGCAGTTTAACAGTCTCTTAACTTGGAAACTGTTTGAGATCTGCATTTTTTTCCAGATAGCTACACTATAAAGGCAGAAGGAAAAGATATTAAAAAATAAAATGAATTTTAAACTAAATTAAATGGAAGTCAACATAACCCAGAAAGCCAGACCAACGGCAGCCTTCATCCGGTGCCTGGGTCAGCTTTTAGCTTCAGCTTGAGCTTTAGACTAGTGCCTGGTCAAGCTTTCCTGAACAGCTAATCACCAATTGCAGGTTCACTGAACCTCCAACCCGCAGCCACGAAGGACTCCTCAGAGCCGTTTCGCAAAGGAAGCGGGCGCCCTCTGCTGGCCACTGCTGTCTCCAACGGGAAGAGCCCCAGGACAGTGGAAAACCTCTGGACAGCTGCAGCCATGGGGTGGTGCAGAAGTGAGACCAATAAATGGGCAGAAGCGGAATCCCGCGGCTGCCCAGACGATGCCCGGAGGATACTGGACTGCGTGCTTCCTGGGAAGGATCGCAGCGCCTTTGACATTTTCATACTGAGGCTGAGTTTGAGTTTAGCTTTTATACTGCGGTTTTAAACTCTTACAGTGCATTCTGCGTGCTGTTCAACGGTTTTCATTGGTGTGAATCACCCAGGGCACATCAGCTCTTGGGGTGCATAGAAATAGAATACATAAAATAATTTAAAAAAATAAAGATCGCTGGGCCTCTGTGCAAACAATAGGCAAATCTAGCCTAGCCTGGCTCAGGTAGGTCTTAGTGCACCCCAACTATGCTATTAAGAGTTTGGAAGACGGGACAAAAAGATGCCTCCACTCTGCTTATACTGCAAAAGAAAGTGACTCCTTAAACTGGGCGGCAAAGGGTTCTTTGAGCCAGTGCTCCCTAAAATTAAGGCTGGAACCCAGCTGCGTCTGTCAAAGGGGGATCAGGCAGCGCGCCCGCCCAGCGCTGCCCACGCGGGACTATTTCGGCGCACGCTGAGAGCGCTCGGTATCCCTCCGTCTCCTCGCGCAGCGTTCCAGGCCGCGCTTGATCTTCCGAGGGAGGGTGAGCGACCTCCTTTCTTCAAGAAGGGGGTCTCAGTGCGCCTGCGCAGTCGGCTTGTGGCGAGGAAAAGTCACCTTAGAGCTTGCACAGCTGTAGAGTGACACACTGCCTAGAGATTTAGGTCTGCAATCTAAGGCATGCTTAGACAGAAAACAGAAAGGCTTACGGCTCTCGGCATGGGACTTTTTTCTATCGACAAAGGGATAGGGTTGCTCCTAAAAGAAAGAGTGTGGTTTCTTCTGACGGAAGCAAGTTACTTGCTACTACCTTAGACTTGTGTGTGCGTTTCAACGCTCAATCCTATGTGTGTGTAGACAGTAAAAAAGGCTACAACTGGCCCATGCTAGAAGTAGTGAGTCTCTTTTTCTGCCTAAATGCACGCTGGACTGTGCCTTAAACTGCTTCCCAAGGATCTTCTTCGCTCCGGGCAGCATTGCTAAACCTGCAGTCCAATACCTGGGATAGCTTGGATTAATGAGTGCAGGGGGAATGCAGGTGAGGGGAAAAGGTCCAAAGAAGCAGCAGCATGAAAAGCAAGCAAGCAAGCGAACGAGAATCTGCATGGTATTTACAAGCGCGAATTGTCAAACTAAAACGCAATTGCAATTAGAACCGACAGTTTGGGAAAACGCGCATGCGCACTCTGACGGCTCCGTTCCTCGTTAAAGCGCACGCGTGGAAAGAGCGCTCGACGGCAGAACCTATCGCAGCTCGAGGAAAGGTGACGTCAGCGACTGTAAGCGTGAAGAGGGCAGCTGCCGAGGCAGTTTTCCAGAGCCCGGATAGCTCGCCGTGATCGTATAGTGGTTAGTACTCTGCGTTGTGGCCGCAGCAACCTCGGTTCGAATCCGAGTCACGGCAGGAAGGGGTTGAATTTTTTAAATCTTAAGTATTAAGATTATTGTTAATATTTTACTGTACTGAAGCAATCCGTCCGAAATGCAGCACCGGAATAGGTCGCTCATTCGGGAAAACTGCTTGCCTGGCGCGAAAGCAACAGCCCACGAGGTGTGGGGCTGCGCTGCTTGAGTTTGTCCCGGTTTACAACGTGCCCCGACCCAGGAGAGCGGAGCAAGTGGCGGGGCTGCTTTCCCCGAGCGCACTGCATCCTTCCGCTCACGCTGCTCTTCCCTGGTCACGACGGCTGGGGGGCCCGGCGCGCGCCGCTCTCGGTCTGAGCTCGAGCCCTTCGCCCCCGGAGGGACGCGTCCCCCTCGCCCGCTCCCTCTGCTTGCGCGCTGCCTTTCCTCGGGCGGAGCTGCGCGCATCCCAACGGGGAAGCCGGC